GGCTAGGCATATTAATGTCAAATTATAATGGAAAACGACAGTAGGATTTAAGTGCGTCTCTGTAATCCCTTTATAAAATGTCAAAAAATATGCCTAGCCATGACTTCAAGCTACTTATGTACTTACACCTTTATAGTCTGTTCAGCAATAGTATTTTTCTAATATTTGCAAGTCAACTGGTAGAAAAAAGAGCGATTTCCCATAATTATGACCTGTAGAGAGACTGCCGAATCTGGAAAATTTGCATTAATGCACTGACCAATGTTCTGGAAGTTCCAAATAGTTTGTGGCATCACCATTTGCGGATTAGGTTGATATTTCCGTCACTTTTATTATACCCTCCACCATTCTATTCTATATTAGCTTTGTCATTTCGTTTGTAACTCCTCGAAATATTTATGTCGCACCCAACAAAGTATAGGATTTTAGCGACATTTTTCACCTGAATAGTTTGAAATTTTGTATTCAAAGTTCTAACTGGGTACTGCAACCTTTTTTTTTTATTGTTTAATTTATTGAATCTTTCATATATTTAATGAAAATAACAATAAGGTTTCATATCTTATATACTAATATTTTTATAGGGAGGTTGTCAATACAATCATCCCATATTTTTTTCATGCTTTAATTATTATTGTTTTTTTTTTTATGATATAGATGTGTGTTATTTTGTGGGCTTGTGGATACAGTTATATCCGTGAATTGATTGAGTAGGTAGTTAAGATTAGTTTAGATACAGATATATCTAAGTGAATCGCGGATTACAGAAATAGTCTTACGGATATAATTTTGCTTTGTTTAGATACAGTTATATCTAATCATCCCGCGGACTACAGTAATAGTCTTTTCGATTTCTTCACAGAAGCAGCTTCCAATTTAGCATACTACTACCTGTAGAAGTATAAAAGTGGGCGACGTTCAATTGGCCAGACAAGAGCTGAAAATAATGAGAGCGTAAGACAAAAAATAAACTATATGATAGAAAGAGTGTCACGTCTGCGCAGTCTATCGTGTCCTCCGAATAGTAGGAGTTGGCGGGCCAAGTTATTTGGGTGCTCGGATAGTTTGTTTAAGTACTTGCGGCAAAGCTTCTTTATTTCTTCTTCAACAGTAAGTATATTTAGGTCCTTGTGGATGTTTGCGTTCCTTATGTACCATGGTGCACCTGTAATAGATCGAAGAATATTCGACTGTCTTCTTTGTAGTTTACTTACGTTAGAGGCACTAGCTGTGCCCCAGAGCTGTATGCCATACGTCCAAATTGGCTTTATTATAGTCTTATATAATAGGACTTTATATTCTAATTTAATAGAAGAACGTATACCAATTAACCACTCAAGATTGGCCTTTTTTAGCTTAATCTGTGTGATTTTTGCATCGATGTGTTGCTTCCATGTAAGTCTTCGATCCAGGTGCATTCCGAGATATTTTATGGTATCTTTCTGTGGAACTTGAGTATTAAAGATTTTTATCGTGGGGCAAAGTTCACGTCTTAGAGCAAAAGTAACATGTATGCACTTGCTTGCATTTACCGATATTCTCCATTTTGTCAGCCAATTTTCGAGAAGATATACATGGTATTGTAGTTTTTCCGACGCAATCAGAGGATCCTTGTGTATGCTAATGAAAGCAGTATCATCCGCAAACGTTGAGGTTAGAGTTTCATTGGTTGTGGGCATATCGGCAGTAAATAACACGTACAGAATTGGTCCTAAGATACTACCCTGTGGGACGCCAGCCAGTATTTTTCTCGAATTTGAAAGTATGTCTTTCGATTTAACAACAAACGTACGATTTGACAATTAACTACAAAAAAGTTTATGAGTGTTTTTAGGTAGAGTTTCACAAATTTTGTATAGAATTCCAAGATGCCAGACTCTGTCAAACGCTTGGGAAATGTCTATAAATAGCGCCGAGCAGTACTCCTTCCTTTCGAATGCCATTCTAATATTTGTGACTATGCGGTGCACTTGCTCAATAGTACTGTGGTTCTTACGGAAGCCGAATTGGTGGTCGGGGATAATATTGCTATTTGTAATATGGGGAGTTAACTTCCTTAGTAATGTTGTTTCGAACAGCTTTGAGAGTATAGATAGAAGACTGATGGGTCTATACGATTTTAACTGCGTTGGATCTTTTCCAGATTTCGGAATCATTACTATTTCAGATTCTTTCCATACAGACGGGAAGTACCCTACTCGAAGAATGCTGTTAAATATAAATAGCAATAGTTTAACGGCCGGTGTTGGTAATTTCTTGAGCATGTTTGGAGTAATTCTATCTTTACCCGGGGATTTTTTTTTTGTTTTATCGAGGCTACAGAACTTTCGATTTCTTTTAGAGAAAATCGTATTGGATTCGGAACAATGTCGTCAATTAAAGGTTGAACAACTGTCGATGGTCCGGGATTTGGGGTAAATACAGATTCAAGATGTTCGGCAAATGCCTTTACTTTTTCTTCTGTAGATCTTGCCCAAGTCCCATTTTCTAGGCGAATTGGAGATTCGTGGGCGATAGGTCTTCTCAAGTTTTTTGTGGGTTTCCATAAGCTGTAGTCAGTTCTCTCTGTGGGATCCAGGTTATTTAGGAATATTTTTAGGTTTCGCTCTTCATTTAATCTGAGTGCTTGTTGTAAGAGTTTTTCACATTCTTTTAGTTTTTCCCGAAACCTAGGTGATCGGTGCTTCTGCCATTCTCTTCTGGCCTTCCTTTTATCAGACCATTCGAATGGTCGATGGATTATAGGAATTATTTTCTAGTTTTGAAAATTTAGTGGGAGTGGCAACATTGACAGCGGTGTTGACTATCGAAGTAAATATTTTAACTGCATTGTCAATTTCTTCTCCGGACTTTAGAGGAGTGTTAGAATTCACATGTGTACTGACATATTTTTTGTACTTCACCAGTTTGTATATTTATTTGGTAGATAATCCGGGGATGTTGCGAGTTGAACATCATTTAATGTTATTATAGTTGGGGAATGGTCTGACGACAAGTCAAACGAGGGTACCACGGACATTTGTTCCCTCTTAATATTCTTTGTTACCGCAAAGTCAATTAAGTCAGGACGTTTTTGCAGGTCTGAAGGCCAGTAAGTAGGCTGGCCAGTAGATAACACGTCCAGTTTAGCGGACGAAATGGAGTTTAAAAGCTGTAATAAGTCTAGATCCCCAGAAGGTGTGTTTGGCATTATAATCTCCAGCTGCAATGAATCTACTGAGAAAAAGTGTGCAAATTCATCTTTGCTTATACTATGTCTCGGAGGACAATATATTGCAGATATAGCTGTATTCGTTGAAGATAGTGCAACTGTTGTAGCTTGTAGGTGGTCAAACTTATATTCTGGCATGGGGTAATGCTGAATTTTATTAGAAATTATCACCGCGGTGCCACCGCAAGCTCTCCCACTAGGGTGTTTAGTGTCGTATGTACTGTAACCGTTTATTCTAAAACAGTTTCTAGAAGTGAAATGAGTTTCAGATACCAGTAAAATGTGTATGTTGAGTGAGTGAATAAAGTTTTCGACCTCGTGTTTATGTTGGCTTAAGCCGTTTGCGTTCCAAAAACAGATTCGAATTTTATCTATTTTTGTTTTAAAACTATTTGCATAATCATAGATTGATTTCTCACAATATCTTGCATCATGCTTTGCATACTTGTCATAAAAGAATTCATGGTGACGATTAGTTTTTCGATAGATGATTCTATATTTGAATTTTTATAGTTGGGTGAGTCATTTTTCAAAGTATCAGAATATAAGTATTGCATATTCTGTGAGGGGAGATTGTAATTAGGAGCGGTGGTTTCATTCCTCTTGTTTAGCTCAGGGAACTCAGCTGTTTTGATATTAAATTGTGGATTTTCCCGTACCCGGTAGCTTGTAGGCTTTTTTGTGGCTAAGCTAGATTTTGTTAAGTGGATATATACTGCAACCTATAACAAAAAATCGAGCATGCAGGTCCATGTCTTCGTATAGCCCCCCCTATATTGATACCTCCCGATATTCGGTATTTTGATGATTTTAGCGGTTGATCACTTATCGCGGTTTTCAATTATTTATTCAAAGTAAATGCAACAAGTTGTTTGATTTTTTATTGTTTTGATACTAATTCTGACAGTACAAGCCAAACAGGTAGACCTCCATACTTGCAATTTTTTTAAAGTTGGCCTACCTTCTCTTCATTGTACCATGTATGGTATCATAGCCCTACCTTGATATCATTGTACCATGGGTAGATGCATCAACGTTTGGGAACATTTATATGTCAAAAAATTTCAAATGTCTTTTCAAATATAAGTGAATTTTTATTTTTTTTTTTTTCATCTACGACGCCATTCGGAAGTTATTATAATAAGCGTTTTTCAACAACTTCTACAAAATTTAAATAATTTTTCATTCAACATTTTCAATTCCAAAATTGGTTTGACAGTTCATTGTCCCAGCAGCTGTGTCGATGCGTCTACCTATATTCTTTTTCCATGTTATCTGGGTAGCAATTGCTTGTCTGTCTTGAACAAAAGTTCTGTAAACAGACTATTAGTTCAATTTCAGTCAATATTTTATACATGCTCAACCCACGCTCCTTTGTTCTTTTACAAAGAAGCCAGCCGTGGTGCAAACAAGCGTTTTGTGTATTCTCAGCCATGGTAGAAGAATACAGGTAGTCGCTTCGACACATTTGCTGGGACAATGAACTGTCCAAACAAATGAGAAAGTATTCAAATTTGCATATAATAATAACCTCCGATTGGCGTCGTATAGGAAAACATATACAAATATACTTGTTTTTGAAGAAACATTTACAAATAAATCGACATGTCAATGTTCCCAAGCGTTGATGCATCTACTTGTATTCTTGTACCACGATTCTCACCTATATTCAAGACAATTTCCTTGTGTTCCTATCCTTGACAATTCAAATTTACTTAAATATGAGCAAATTTTAAAACGATATGGCATCTCTTTTGAAACACATTAGAGTTGGGTAACATTATTGACTCAGCGTGTCATTCATTCCTGAATCTTTCCTTCAAGAGAAGAAGAGGAAGAATTATACATATCCCGCATTTTGTTGATTACCTTCACTTCTTGTTAAATTATTGTTTAAAATGGAACCGATGGCACTAGGTAGTCCAAGCGGTAGCCCTGCAACCAATCCATACTTACCATCATTTCTATTGGGCGAGCAACAGACTCCAACAACTCCAAGAAACAACACTCTTTCTCCAAACAAAGCCGGCTCAAGGAATCTTTCGTTTGGTTTCGCTACCTCGCCCGGTGCAGCTTCACCACAGCAAGATTATAACAGATCAGCTTTGGGACAAAAGACATTATTTGGTGGCTATCAAACGCCCTCGGTTGGTCAAAACACGAATTTTCCGGGCACCCCAATTCAAAATCACAATTCAAGCATATCCGGACCACCAACCCAAGGTCTTTTCGATTCCCTGCGAAGCGAGCGCAACCAAATACAAACACCAACGAGAACTTTGCAGACTCAATCACAGCTTGGGACTCCAATCATGGGACATCCAAATAATAGTTTAGCAGCTACTTATGGTTTGAATCAAAGCATCCAGTCACAATACAATGAATCCTACAACAACAACTCCTTTAATATGTCAAGAGCCGGTGTAATGTCGCCGTTACTTCCAGGAACGCCAGGCAACGTTACAACTGGTATTAATGCAGCACAACTGCAGTGTCCACAACCTCCACGCTACACTGAATTTTGGATAACAGTCTTTGGCTTTCCTTCTAGTGCGACTCCAGTTATTTTGCAACACTTCGCTCAATGTGGAACTATTGTGGATAAAGTTTTTCCCTCCCAAAATGGAAATTGGGTACATCTAAAATATTCGTCCAGACTTGAATGTGACAAAGCCTTAAATTACAATGAAAAAATCTTAGCCAATAATATAATGATAGGTGTTACCCAGTGCAAAGATAAAGCAATTATCGATAAAGAGAATATTTGTGAAACAAACACTCAGTAAGTAATCTTTTCCAAAAGGACATTTTATGCGATAACACTTTAACTTAATTAATATTTATTTATAGACCCACTGTACAAAAAGTTCGTCCATTGGCCCAAACAGCATACAAAAGTGCTCAAAACGATACATCTGTTGTGGCAAATGCTAATGCACCGCAAAAAAGCTCTGGCATAATGAACAAAGCTATGGATCTATTTTTTGGCTGGTAGTTGAATTTATATAACAGTCTTAGCATTTATTCAAAATTCATACTAAATAGTTTGTCAAAAAATTGTGTATCTCTTTTAAATTGTTTCGAAAAATATATATTGTTTATAACGACACCAATACCATCCTGATATTATGTGTTCAAATCATTACCCAGCAAAAATTTTGAATCTGTATGCTCCGTACATACATTATTTTAGATTTATTTGAATACCAAGTACCAACGCCCTACTACAAAAACCGTAGGTTGTGAGTAGATATAAGATTTTAAGCAACACTATAGCACTACTGTGGCAACGTGTGTGGTGTATTTAAGTACAAATAATAAGTTTGCGATTTCAATATAAAAACTAAGCAGATCCCTTTTTCTGCTAGTTAGTCGAGTTTTAAAGCCAAAAAATAGTACTCAATTCAGGTACCATGACCTTGTAAAAATAATGGTTTAGTAGATTGACTTGAAGTTGTATCGACTGTTAAAAATGCTCTTTTGCATGGACATTACACCAGTTTGAAAGCCAACATCTTTTCATGTCAAATGTAGGTTTAAAAGATCTATTCGGACACAAAAGAAATGTCAAATTTAAACAAGATTTCTAAAAACACCTTGATATTGTATTAGGGTTTATATTATATATTTTAAGTCTACGGGTTTAAAATATGTTATGTAAACAAATGATTTATATAATGATAGGTACATTAAAATTATATGTGATTTTCTAAAGATTTACTTTCCTCTCCACTCAAGCCATCAAATCGTTTCGTATTGCAAAACATGTACGTGTAGTCTAATCGTAAACTAATAATTTATTTAGGCTCAATGATTGCATTCTCAAGATCTTTCATCTTCGGATAATTGACCTCGCGGGCATCCAATTTCGACTGTGCCCACATAATTAACTTTAACAGAAACATTATTTTGGGTGTAGAATCAGCACTATGCTCACTCTTTAAGATAGCTGCATTCAGTTCACTGGCAATCTGAAACAAATACATTATTATTAATTTTCAAATAATACAATGCAACTGCATCTCACTTTTTGTCTATGCGACTGCTCAAGAAGATATGAAAATGGGCTTTCCTGCGGTTTTTCGAATGCCAATAAAGCCAAGGTACGTTCGAGTTCGCACAACACCTCTGGTATGTCTTCACCGGCTTCCGAGAGGCGAGTTTGAGCAAAGGATAAAGCTTCTTCGATTTTTCCAGCCCTAAAACAGTAATCTAATTAAAATCGTCAAACGCATATTACTGGTAAATATTTATACCTTATAAGTTCAATTAATTGTAATTGTTGCAAATGAAAGTATAGATATCGGTCGCTATCAAGCAACTCGGGATGCAGTTGATTTACCAATTGGGTCGCTTCCTGAATCCGTCCATTTTGTATGGCTTCGCGTATCAGTATACGATCATCCAATGAATTCAACTCCACCGAAGGCTCCAACAGACCAGCCTCAACTTGAAATTTCTCTGCCGCCTCTTTGAAACCCTCTAGGAGACATCAAATTGCAGATGTAAAAAATGCATCAAAGAGGTTTTAAGCACTAGCTAACTTACCAGTTACCAAGTAATTCATGATCAATCGATTCATGTCTGCTTGTTTAAACGGGAATTGTTCCAAACGCATCATCCATTCCTCTTTAGTAATCCCATCGTTCTTGTCGTTGTAACTCATTTTCTTGTTTTTCCTTATTTTTCCAATTTTGAAGCCGTTTTTAAACAAATGAAAAGAAACTAATGCTGATTGTTAACAACTTAACGCGTATTTTTATTTTTTTAAGGCAAACGACGTTGATTACAGGCAAAAAATAAAAAAATACACACACATACACATACAACTCCTCTTTGTGTTTAGGTTTGTTAAATAGGGAAGCAGAAGTCGACTTTGGTTGAAGAGCAACAAGGGTTGCCAATAAAACAAGATATTTGCTAAGAAACTTTTTTTCTGTAAAGAAGAATACAACCATGGTACAATGATATCAAGGTAGGGCTATGATACCATATGATTTTAATTTTTTTATTTTCTTGGTTTAATATGTCATCTTTATTTGTTTATGTATGTGTTTTCTTTTCAATAACAAAAAAATTGCTCAGAAAACATTCAATTTCGGATGTTTTCAAAATGTTTATTTCATCGTATGCATCGACAAAATCTAGAGTTTTTGTAGCGAAATAATCCTTTAGAGATATATAGAACCTGGTTTTGAAAAGAAGTGTTGACCTTTCATTCAGTTTTCGCGGTTTTCAATTATTTATTCAAAACAAATGCAACAAGTTGTTTGATTTTGATATTGTTTTGATACTATTTCTGACATTACAAGCCAAACAGGTAGATCTCTATACTTGCAATTTTTTCAAAGTTTTCCTACCTTCTCTTCATTGTACCATGAATGCAACCGTATTTATTTTTACGCATCGTACGTAAAACTAGTAGAAAGAGCATGGCCATGGTTGGATTAAGAAAGAAAAGTCATGAAAACATATTGTTACAATTTTTTCAAAATGAATTATTTGACATCTCATTGTCAAGATATGTATTTATCAAATAACCATATATTTATATATGGTTATTTGAAATGACCTTACCTTCTTAATTTTACCATGAGTAGGGCAGAGGAAAGCAGGTATATGCATTAGGACTTGTTAATATTGATATGCTAAATATATTAAAACGTTTTAGAGATATAAATTGAATTCAGAATGTTTTCTTTGCCGTGTGAATAGTTGTTGAACCACATTGTCGAAAAACCACCGCATTTCTTGAAGGTCAGAACATTGCGAAGGAAGCTTACCAAATTTGACAGAGGAAGATCATATTAGCACGAGTACGAAAGAGGAGCGGCCTTTAGCGGAATTCTGCAAATTCTACAAACTTTGTTCTATTTTTAGGAAAAAATAATTCTCCACCTTATTCTGCATTGAAACTTGCGATAAGAAGCTTACATTTACACAGAGATTTAATTAGTCTGCAGGTAGGTCAAGTTCGAATATATGTCATATGGGTTCACGATAACGGGTAGCCACCACATAACGGTACCTCCCGATATTCGGAATTTTTATGATTTTAGCCACATTTTTTAACGAATTTGTTGCAAATTTGCTATGTGAAACTCGCCATAGATTGTCCTTGTGGGTATAGTCCCATATAATGGTAACGCTTACTTTGTGGTCTTTCGCAAAATTAAATCTTATTTTCATAAAGATCTGCCGGTTGAACATCACGCTTTTTTTACTTTTTTTAATTTTGAATGCTACGAAAAACATTGTAAATCATATGTTACCATGGTACAATAAAAACGTAAGGTAGAGCTAGCAATTTTTTTATTACAATTTTTTTCTAAGTGTGCCTGACTTCTGCAAATTTTGTGTATGTATTTGTTGTTTTGAAAAATAAAAACAAAATATTTTCAAAATCAATGATGGGAAGAAACTTAAATTGCGGGGCACGCATTAATGATATTAACCAGATTTGCCATGGAATTGAAGGATTGAAAAGTTAGGATCATATTTTTGAAGAATATCCTAGCATTTCGTTCATCTTTCGCGCTATTCGACTCATTTCAAAAATGAACAAAACATATCAATAAACGAAAACAACTTGTTGCCTATAATTTTGAATAATTCTGACAGGAAGCGGGCATAGCCTCAAGGCTGTATTTCTGTAGTTTTACGAAGCTGTTCTACCTCCTTATTGCACCATATGTACAAAGTATTTTGTACATTCTTTTGAGATCGGGTGAGACGCAGGGAAAATCTAACAATTAAAAATAAATGACCTTATGCGCTGTCGCATAAAATAATGTGTGTGATAGTAAAGATTATGACCCACACATACAGATATCGATGCGCTCAGTAAATATGTAAGACAACTTGAATCAAATGACAAGCAGCTCTGCATTCGATATTAGAATCATGCTAAAATTAAGAAGGTAAAGTTATGCAATCATATGTTCACAATTTTTTCAAAATTATTCATTTAACAACATCTCATTGTCAAAATGCATATTTAAAATCATTGCATATCAAATCAGAGACGGGAGCCTGTTTTCTATGCAGTGAAATTAAACAAAGCAAATTACAAAAAATGCAGAGGTGGGTGCATTTATTTAAAATGAGTTTACCTCATTCATTTTACCATGATTAGAAAAAATTAAGGAGGTAAAGTCATTTATTTTAAATACCATGGGTAATCTATATAATTATAAAATTATATAATTTTATCATGTTGTCAACTATGCACAAAGAAAAATTATATTTTTAACAAAAAATTAACAAAAAATGACATATAAAATAAGGATAACCATGGCCCAACATTGCGGCATAAGCATTACATACAATAACAAGTTCTATGCGGAATAAAAAACGTAGTTTCATTTGCCAAATTTCAACTCTTTTTATATTGGGAAATCATGTTTTTGAAAGAAAATAATGAGGAAAATATCAAATAAATGAGAAGAACTTGTTGGTTATAATTTTGAATAATTCTCACAGGAAGCGGGCATAGCCTAGGCGCTGAATTACTGTAACGTCATTATTATACCATCCTAAATACTAAAATTGATTTATTGCTGTTTCAACAACGATCGCTAAGAACCCACTTAAGAGAAATAACGCAAACGCATTGTTCTGCGCACGAATGCCCTACATCGATATGTCGATCTGTGAAAGCCTAGCTACGTTGTTTCTTTTGTTCTGATTATTGGCCTTTATCGGTTATTTCCTTATTCTCCCGTGTCTAAACGGCGTAATTGTTTAGGCAGCGGCTGCGGGAACCATTTGCACCGGAGAAAAAATCGAACAACATTCTTGTGTGGTTAGTGCTGCTGTCAAAATAAAAAAAATAATTGGTAAAATTAAGAAAATTAAATAAATTTTCATAAAAAATATCAACAGTTGTGTGTCAATCTTAAGAATACACGATTTTTAAATACAAAGCGAACAAATACCGTGAGTGCCGTGAGTGAAAGCTTTGTGCGATTATTGGTCCGGCATTTTCCTGTTGTTTCCCAAGTTTGTGCATTGCATTATTTTAATTTTAAGAAATATTATGATATTTTGTTTAATTCCATTGCAGTATCCTATTCCATACGTTATCTTGCAACGCGGGATTTTAAAAATGTCGAAAAGTTCTGGGTAAGTTTTCAAGTCATTTGCAATAGTGACCGAGGAACAATTGGCATGGTGTGCGAATCCTTAGAATTAAGGAGAAGAAGATAAATTTTAAATCTTGCTCATATTCTATCGAAATAAGGGTCTTTACTTTTGTGGACACCTATGGCCCAAATTGAGCATCGCAAATCTGTGTTTTTCGTTTCACGGGGCAATTTTTAGAGAAATGCTTTGTTATATTCCATTTTTAATGCCTATATTTCTTGTAGAAGGGATCGTGACCGCGAAAGAGAACGTGACCGGGACCGAGATTATGAGAGGGAACGTGAGCGAGATCGCGAGAGAAAACGCCGTTATTCAAGGAGTAGGTCTAGGTCTCCAAAGGAGCGATCTTCCCGCAATGGAAACGGTGCGAGTAGCAGCAGTCGCAACCGCGATGAACGAAAGAGGGATAGAAACGAGCGTGATCATCGCGATTTTGACCGCAGACGGGAGGAAAAACGAAGAAGGGAGTCACCATCCCAATCAAAGTTGAAGGAATACGAACGGGAAAAGATGTAAGCAACAAATTGTTTCAGAAATAACCCAGAATCATTTTTATGAAATTATTCGCTTTTAGGCGTCAAATGGAAAGAGAACGTGATCGGGAAAGAGAGAAAGAACGTGAAAGGGATCGCGAAAGAGAACGGGACAAAGAACGGGAACGTCAACGGGAACTTATTCGTGAAAAGATTGTTGAGGAAAACCAGACAAAACCAGCTCCTCCCGCAACAATTGTCATCAATGAAGATTCAAGCAGCTCATCGCCGGAGGAGGAAGAAATTGATAAAGAAGAAGAACAACGACGACTGGAGCTGGAAATGATAAAACGCCGTGAACGCATTGAACGTTGGCGTGCTGAGAGAAAGCTTAAAGAACTGGAAGCCAATAAAAAAGACCTAAAATCGTTGTTGCCCCCGCCCACTACAAATATTGTTTCCAAAAAATGGAGTCTTGAAGATGAATCCGAAGAAGAAGACAACACAATTGCCACAGTTGATCTCAGTAAAGAGCCCGACTCACCACCTTCAAAATTTCATCGTATAAAGAAACCTAGGGATGACGATGAGGATGAAAAAGTTGATAGACTAAAATCATCGAAGAGCATTGTTATTGCCGCGAAAGCAAAAATTGAAGCTTTGCGAGAAGAAGAAGAACTCAAAGTTGAGCAGTTGAAAAAGGTCAGAGAAGAAGAGGAATATTCCAAAAAAGAAGCGGCAGCCGCAAAATTGTCGGCTGAGGCCGAAGAAAACGACGAGATTGATCCCTTGGATGCTTATATGCAGGAGGTGGCCAAAGAAGTGAGACAAGTCAATCATATCATTACGCAACCCAAAAAACAGCAGGGTGTTGTTATTTTGACCGGCATGGCCAAAAAGAAGTCCACGGTAAATAAAACAAAGGAGAATTAATAGAGCAAAATATGGACAGCTTGGAGTATTCGAGTGAAGAAGAACTGGAAGATATTAAAGATACTGCTGCTAGCTTGGCAAATAAACATCGCAAGGACTTGCCCAAAATAGATCATTCCGGCGTTGAATATGCATCATTTCGTAAAAACTTTTACGTTGAGGTACCCGAATTGGCACGTATGACACAACAAGAAGTGGAAAAATATCGAGCTGATTTGGAAGGCGTACAGGTCAAGGGCAAAGGTTGTCCCAAACCCATTAAGGTAATGTTTTTCTTTTATACGCGATTTACCTAATTAGTGTATTTTAGGCTTTGGATATAGGTTGTTGTCAGTACGCCCGTAAATTTTCGATTTTTTTCAAAATGTTTTTTTTTTTGTGTGCCTAAATTAATTTCATATTGCAAATGTTTCGTTTCCTAAAATCATTTTATTACTATCTTGCCTTGAAATTGCCTGAAATGCTAATACCTAAAAAGTAGACTTAAAACACTGTTTTTGGCATTGTTTTTAGTCTTAAAAAATATAGTTAATATAGTTGCTCTATTTCGAATGTAGTTTATTTTGTTAATCCATGGTTGTTACTTTCTTCTTTGGGATTTGCCTTCTCAATCGATTCTTTTATTTTTTTCATGCAGACTTGGGCACACTGTGGCGTCAGTAAAAAGGAAATGGACATTTTACGTAAATTAGGCTTCGACAAGCCCACACCCATCCAGTGCCAAGCGATTCCGGCAATTATGTCTGGGCGAGATTTAATAGGTATTGCAAAAACTGGCAGTGGCAAAACGCTAGCATTCATTTTACCCATGTTTAGGCACATTCTCGATCAGCCAGAACTGGAAGATGGTGATGGACCTATATCGATAATAATGGCTCCGACCCGTGAATTGTGTATGCAAATCGGCAAGGATATTCGAAAATTCTCCAAAAGTTTGAATTTGCGCGTCGTTTGCGTCTATGGTGGTACGGGCATGTTTGAACAGATCGCCGAGCTGAAACGTGGAGCCGAAATAATTGTCTGTACACCAGGGCGCATGATAGATATGTTGGCAGCCAATTCGGGCCGGGTGACTAATTTACGTCGTGTCACCTACATTGTTTTGGACGAAGCTGATCGTATGTTCGACATGGGTTTCGAACCTCAGGTAATGCGTATCATTGATAATGTAAGGCCAGACCGTCAAACGGTTATGTTTAGTGCAACCTTTCCAAGACAAATGGAGGCTTTAGCCAGACGTATTCTCAAGAAGCCAATTGAAGTAATTGTTGGCGGACGATCCGTCGTTTGCAAAGATGTGGAACAACATGTAGCCATAATGGAAGACGATGCCAAATTCTTCAAGCTGTTGGAATTGTTGGGCATTTACCAAGAAAAGGGTAGCATTATTGTGTTCGTCGATAAGCAAGAGAACGCCGATATTCTTTTGAGAGACCTAATGAAGGCTTCCTACCCGTGTATGAGTTTACATGGCGGAATAGATCAATTCGATAGAGACTCAACGATATTAGATTTTAAATCTGGTAAGGTGCGTCTTTTAATAGCTACATCTGTAGCAGCGCGTGGCTTAGATGTCAAGGATTTGATTTTAGTTGTAAATTATGATGTTCCCAATCATTATGAGGACTATGTTCACAGGTATGTTGGCATTGAAATGGTATTCATTAGGATTCCGTGTTAAAACGAAACCAAATATATTGATTTTTATTATTATCATTATTTAGATGTGGTCGAACAGGTAGAGCGGGTAAGAAAGGAAGCGCATGGACATTTTTGACATATGACCAAGGCCGCTATGCTGGTGATATCATAAGAGCTTTGGAATTATCAGAAACTCCGGTTCCTGAGGAGCTGCAGAAACTTTGGAATGAGTACAAAGCTGGCCAGGAGGCCGAAGGAAAGAAAGTACACACAGGAGGTGGTTTTAGCGGTAAAGGGTTTAAATTTGACGAGCAAGAAGCCAATGCGGCTAAGGAGAGCAAAAAACTGCAAAAGGCTGCATTGGGCCTGGCGGATTCCGATGACGAAGAAGACATAGAGAATGATATTGATCAACAAATCGAGCAACTATTTGCAGCTAAGCGCACTGTGAAAGATACATCAGTGCCAACGCCAGCCGTTACTATGGTAGCCACTGCTCCTGCGTCTGGCAGTACTGTCATTGCTGGTGGAAATACTGCAGCAGGTGCCAATCCTGTTGGTTCTGACAAGCTTGAGTTAGCCAAACGGTTGGCTTCCAAAATTAGTACCAACAAGAATTTGGGTGCCGATGGTAAGGCATGTACACAAGTTGCAGCCGAAGCCATACTTAAGGGTTCCAGTGCTACACAGCCAATGATTACTGCCCGTTCCGTAGTAGAACAGTTGGCTGCCAAACTCAATAACAAACTTAACTATCAGCCTAAAGATGACGAGGAAGGTGCTGCATCGGGCCTTTTGCCAAATCAAGCTAACTCCTTCACAAAGTATGAGGAAGAGCTGGAGATCAACGATTTCCCACAGCAGGCACGTTGGAAGGTAACGTCGAAAGAGGCATTGGCCCAAATATCAGAATATTCCGAAGCTGGTCTCACAGTGCGTGGAACGTATGTTCCGCCAGGCAAGAATCCACCCGAAGGCGAACGTAAATTGTATTTGGCAATAGAAAGCTGCAGCGAATTAGCTGTCCAGAAAGCCAAGCGAGAAATAACCCGCCTTATCAAAGAGGAGTTGTTGAAACTGAGCTCAGCACATCATGTCTTCAATAAAGGCAGATATAAAGTTTTATAAATGGCCAGACAAGATTCGCAGTTTAATGATAACGGTCACAATAGACTTGCGGTAAATCTAGTTAAGAAACTATTTGATCATTTTATAATTGCTCTATTTTTCGGTCTAAGTTCTAGAAATATAAGACAAAGAATCGTAACGATTTTTAAAGACCTAAAAAACTAATAAAGGGAGAAGATCCAAATGTTTGGAATATTTCCAATTTTGACCAGAACCGTGTTTTTTATTATTATTTTTTGGTTGCATTAGGTACGATTCCTTCGATTTTGTTGGTAAAGATCAAGACTGTTTTTTACTGTAAATAAATGCATTTCCATTTAACTACTTCGTGTGATTTTATTTTACTCATTACACTGTTATTTAGAAAATATGTAGACAATCCTTATTTAACTAATTATTTTAGCTTTAATATTTCTATGCTAAACATCGCTATTGGAAATCTGGAAGTTCGCTATACTCTCAATCATGTAGGTAAAACAAATTTAAAAGGCACGTTTAATTTCATACAACTTGGAGTATTAAATACATTGTAAGTTTTCTTGCCCTAATAATACTGTTCAAATTACATCTCAATTCAGACTTTTTCTCCGACATTCAGCAGTGTTTATAATTGAGTCCAATACGTTCTCTAAGTTTTGGGTTGCTTCGGATAAATCCGTATTGTCGCTGTGGGAGTCATCAACAATTTCCTTAACTTTATTTAATAAAAGCTTAAAGTTCGCCATTTCTGTTTCACGTGGATTAACACCGTAATAAGTGAGTTCGTGTTGTGACGGCACTTCGGCTAGTACGGATAGAGGTTGCTGATTCGAGTTCAGTGAAGTTGGTGGAAGTGATGAGAAGCGCCTCTGGTTAAACCAAGAACTCAAATCATTGATTGAGTAATCGGATTTGTTTGCATCTAAGTAAGTGCGATTTAGATCGGCTCCATTAACTAGAAAATTTGGTCTAAGAACATCAATTTCTTTTTTAGAATTTGAAATCACTTACTGGAATGAGTTAAATTATCTTTAGTAGTGTAGCTAATAGGGAGATTCGTTCCGCATATCGATTTTACATTCACAACAGCGCTTACATTGTCGATATTAGGAGATGTGGTAAGATGGCCCCAGCGATTTGGTGTACTGGAGGGGGGAAATGCTTCAATGCTTGCCGATGAATTCTGCTGTACAGGAAAATTATATGGATCATTATGTACTTTTTTCTAAATCTATTATTATTACTGTTATTCTTACCGAAAAATTTCGCATTTCCATTATAATGTCATTCAAAAATTGCTGATGTTTTCTTAAGAACACAGAGATTTCATCTGCTGTTGATGTATCTATACATTTAAGTTGATCTTCGAGTTTTCTGCAATTAAATTAAGATAATTATCTTTTACTCAAAGTTTAGATTGATAAGATATCTTGTTAGTGTCGTATAATTCGCTGTTTTGCTTTAATAGCTTATGGGTTAAACTTACTCATTCTGATGCAAAAGTTTGTCAATTATGTTTTGTAACTTTTCAGAGACATTTACAGCCGTCGATGCTGTTGTTGTTAGACAAGCTATAGAAGCTATAAATAATGCAAATGAAAATATAAGAAATATATGAATCATAGAAAATTTAATTATTCGTACCATCGACGTCTGACTTGGGACTTTGTTTTATCTGAATATTTGCCTTGTCCTTCGCTACTATAACTGGTTTCTCAATGGAAATCGGTTTAGCATGAGATGTCTTAACGCTAATTGTAGATGCATTCGATGATCTGTTTGTGGCTATCGTAACAAGTTCAGTGTCATTTTGTGTTATTGTTTCATTCGCAAACCCTTTGCTTTCCTCGCTCGATTTTTTGGCCGCACAAAATACTCCGCTACATAATTTTGACAAATAGTATGAAAATTTTTTTGGTGGTATATCCTGTTTGATTATAGTATTTAAATATTAAAGTATTAAAGTTTTTATTTTTTATTTAAACGCTTACTTCTGTAAAAACTTCATACATGCGGTGACCGATTCCGTGCTTATTATTTGTATAACCAGTTGCAAAGCATTTTAGACACAGTGATAAGTCTTTACACGTCTGGCATTTGAAACGAATTCCTGTAATTTTATCCAAACAGCACGATGCACAGGTGTTGAGATGAATTAGTCTTTCCGTATCTTCAATTCGCTTGATTAATGCAATCAGATTAGCATATATAAGGAATCGGGTTTGTGTTGTGGTCCACAAACAAAGGAATTGATAGTCCGTCAGTCCAGACAGGTTGTGGCACTGATAATAAAAAAAATGTTATTATAAAGTCCAACAGAACTAAAAACAGTGGAGTTGCTAGAGCAATATTTTATCCGAAACAACTAACGAAACGGAGATAAAAGTGTCTTACCCTGGAATAACACTGATCCAAAATCAAAGCAATATTCTGTGCACCATACGCAGCTCCTTCTCCAAGATATGCAAATATTTTGGCCAGAATGCTTAACATATATTCAAAATTAAGTTTGGAAACACATTTCGTTTTATAATTTTTTAAAAGACTATAAAACTCCATAACCATCTGATCGGAGGCATAGAGCTTGCAGAGTAAGAGGAATGTCATCTTTATTTCAAGTAAAGAAATAGAATGTCGTCTATGTCTGTCACAATGTAGAGTATGTAATAAATATGAGTATGCATTAGATATTTCATCATTATGACCCTGGTTCATACTTACGGGTCAAATATATTCCAAAAAAGATTCGAAAGAATTGCAGTTGCAGACTCCAAGGAATATGTGGACACTTTTGTAAAATGTCCTAATTTCTCGCAGGCAAAGAAAATATCATGTATTAAAGACGTCAATTGAAATGGCGGTACCATTAAATTAACATCATCATGCATTCCATGACGATCCATAACAGCGAGCACCAACTTATACGGAATATTATTGGCTAAGAGGAATAAATAATATAATAAAACTTATAAATAATTTTTAAGTTGGAATCAAAAATATAACTCACTGAAAACAATTTTCTGCAGTTTAACAAATTTTGCCGCACATCTGTATACTGTAAATTTGTATCCCTCAAATTCAGCCTGAAGTTCATTTAGGATATTGGTTAATGTAGGAAAATGAAAACCACCTGTTAGGATCACGGAAAGCAAGTGTTAGTTATGAGTTGGAAATGAAATAGATTCTCAAACCTGTTTCCTCCATGTTTCTTCACTTAAGGGCTGACCAGGGAAGACTAAAGATTCCTAATGTTAATTCTATGAGGTATTTCCTTCAACACACTTTTATGGTTTTATCGCGTTTTAATCACTTTTTAATTCTTTTTATTCATTGAGTGCCCGCTTAATTCGTTAAAAGAAGTGTCAAAGTCAATTTTGAATATTGTTTACATTTCTGTCACGCAATGTTACCCGCACTGTTCGTCAATCACAATAGCTGTGTTGCTATCATGGTGTAACAATACAGGCAGCCCCATTAACTCAGATAATGGGAACGTAATACAATCATTACAAGGAAGAGCAGGTTGATTAACTTTGAAAAACACAACCCTGAAGCTAGAATCAGGTAATTTCATATTTGCTATTGTTTATCTACCACTTTTCTCCTGGTACGCCGCGATTTGCTCACTATATCGAGTTCCTAATATGCTTTTGCATATACCCAAAAATGGTATATGTGAATTTAAATTTCGACAGAATTTAAACACTTTCAAAATAATTTATTATACTATTTAAAATTATACGTACACATACAGAAACTGTTTATGTATTTTGACATTACAGGACTGCCAAAATAAAAATAATGTGTTCAGGCGCAAAAAAAATACCTTGGAATTTATTGTACCAGACAAAATAAATACTTTTTTAACCACTAACTTTGAAAATATTGTTTTTTATTCAAATAACAAATACAGAAACAGGAGAAACTGAATTCGGGCATATTCAGGAAAAAAAAAAAAAATAAATCAACGTGTAGCCATGAAACACCTTTTTATTGTACTTTACATAAACTATTTACACATTTACGCGATGTAAAATTTTATAGATACAATATTGTATCCGGATTAACCCACATTATCAGGATTTAAGCTGTAAGTACATAAGAAGCTTGAAGTCATGGCTAGGTATATTAATGTCAAATATAATTATAAAGAAATTAACTTATTATTGAAAAAAAAAACTTATCTACCTATCTACTTATTTTTGATAAAACATTAAACAATCCTAACAAATGAGAACATTTACCTAAAAAATAAATTATGACATTTAAAAATTAAAAATAGAAATATTTAATCGCATTTTAAATTATTTTGGGAAGACTGAAAATTATGTATGCAAACTACAATGTTGAATGGCGTATGTACATTCAAACGAAAATACATTTTGTTTTCTCTCATTTGAGGTACGCATTTTGTCCACGAGTTGGAATTTCCACAGAAAATTGCAAACAAAAAAGGCGATATTTTCAAAATGTTTGTATCGGCAGAAAAAATTTTTGACAATGTCTCTCCAGCTGAATTTAAAAATACAAAAATATTCTCAAAATGTCAATATTTACACACAAAGCTGAAAACGTGAATGAAAATTGTAAAATTAATGATATTATAAATCTTTGGGAGAAAAAATATAATTTCTTCTATTCATATTAGTGAGAATTTGATGTATTTTCCTATAAATTCCCATTAAAATCAAGAGACAATTTTATTGAAAAAAGGAATTATTTTACTATGAACTACGAATCGTGCCGTATGAACGGGTTAATTCGTGTACATAACTCTGAGAGCGAACAACGTGATTGAAAGTGTAATGAGAACATAGCATAATTAGCCCAGTGGCTAGAAGAATAATCGCAACAACACAGCTGCTGGGACAGTGAAATGTCAAACTGATTTTGGATTGAAAATGTTGATTGAAAAATTATTGAAATTTGCGTCGTATAAGAAAACATAAGAAAATCTACTCATTTTTGACAAAACATTTGAAAAATTTTGACATATCAATGTTCCCAAACGTTGATGGATCTACCCATGGCGCAATTACAGAAGTAGAACAAAGCTACCCCCTAAATACAATTTTTTCTTTTAGTGTCTTTATTATGTCAAAACATTGTTTTGAATAAAAAAACAATGTTTTGAAATTATTTCAAATTCGGTTGCAAAATAAATGCATGCTTTCGTTGTTTATGAGCAACACATAGTAATATATTGGGACAAAACTGTATTGTCTTACTATTTTAGATCAATCTTGAGGAATAACCCAAAAATTCCATTCTTGTTTAGCGGGGTTTTCCAATAGAATAATTTTGATGAAACATCAAAAATAAACAAAACCAACTGTTGCATATTTAAAAGTCTATTTGACACTATAAGACTCCAGCATATAGCTGCATTTTTCTAGTTTCTTTGAAGTTCAGCAACCTTTCTTCTTATTGAGCCATGGATCTTCCTGTATTCTTCTACCATGGGTGTATCTAAACACCCATGTTTAACCCACTGGATCTATTAAATCCAGGGGTTAATCTTTTCTTTTTCGAACGTTCCCACGCCTACAGAAGCTAATTCATTGGGTATAGTCATGCAGTCATATGTTCACATTTTTTTCGAAATTATTCACTTAACAGCATCTCAATGTCAAAATTTATATTTATTGTAAAAAAGAAAACAGAGATGGAAACCTGTTTTTTATGCAGTGAAATTCGACAAGGTAAATTACAGAAAATGCAGAGATGGATATGCTTATTTGAAATGACTTTACATCCTTAATTTTACCATGATTAATTGTTCAAAAGTAAAATTATTCTAGACTTAATAACTTCTAAACTCATACCAAATTCTACATTACAGTACACAAAATTAAAGTCAACGCACATTTTACTAAGAGGTTCGCCCATTGAGTAATTCGTGCGGTGAAAATCGGTCCACAATAATTTATAGTATCTACTAAATCCATGGTAAAATTATTTGTTATATTTGTTGTTTTGAAAAATAAAAACAAAATATTTTCAAAATCAATGATTGGAAGAAACTTAAAATGCGAGGAGCGCATTGAACACTTAGGATCATATTTTTAAGAGAACATCCAGGCATTTCATTCATCTTTCGCGTTATTTGACTCACTTTAGTAATGAACAAAAAATATCAAATAAATGAAAACAACTTGTTGCCTATAATTTTGAATAATTGTGACAGGAAGCGGGCTTAGCCTCAGGGCTGTATTTCTGCAGTTTACGAAGCTGTTCTACCTCCTTATTGTACCATGCCCATCTCTGCATTTTCGGAAATTTTTTTATTACCTCCTTGATTCTACCATGACTAGATCTAAACAGAACATTAACTCTAATAGATGTGATTAGGAAATCTGATTTCCTCATTTCAGATTTCCTAATCACATCAATTAGAGTTAATGTTCTGTTTAGATCTAGTCATGGTAGAATCAAGGTAATCTAATTAATTTTAGTATAAAAAGGCAAAACACAATTACTATTGCAATTTAAACCTCGTAAGGCAAATAGCAGAAATTGTTTCTGCACGTATTCTATTTAATCTGAGTATATTTCATATTGAGGATCCTATACAACAGAACCGTAGTCTAATATTGGTCTAACAAGAGACTTAAATAACTTTTTTGTTATATATGGATGAGAAAATTATTTGGCCCACCATTTAACAAAACCTAGAACACCAATTGCTTTATTTACCATTGTTATTACATTGATATTAAAATTTAATTTAGAATTCATCCTCAGTAGCATGAATGCGCAATAAGTTCACACATGACAAAACTATAGAGATAGGTCGGTTATTACATCTTTTCGATAGATAATAAAATGATGTTGCTGGGCACATAAACTCATTTGCTAAATTGAATATGGCAACCATTTTCTGAAGAACTCGACTTTTTATAAAAACAAATACTAACCATTTTAAACATTATCATATTCTCCACTAATAAACGTACGTTACTTTTATAAAAACAACAATAATGGGATTAAACCTAACTATTTCGGAACAACAAAATTAATTTTCTATAAATTATTTTAATTTCAAAAATATACTTTTTTGGAATTTAGATTATAAAATTTAAAATGCAGAAGAATAGTTCCTCAATTATCTAATTTGAATGCCTTATTATCATTCCCCTGAATGTGCAGTAGATCCTAAGCTTCCAACACTTCAAGCAATCAGTAGTAAATCGTAGAAAAAACATCATTGCTTTCAAATTGAAACCACACTGCATACACACTTAAAGTATTCTACATTTTGTAATTTTAGGAAACATGAAATATACGAATATTTTATCGAACGTGGTGTCGCTGTACCTTAACCGAAAATAATTCCGAACCATCGCCTTTGGCGTTTTGTTAAGTACAACGACAATTTTTTCTATTCTCATTGCCCTGCAGTGAACATTTATATCAAAAAAGGTTATACCTATTGTATATCAAGAAATGGAATTAAATCAGAAAACGTCACATCGAGCATGACACTAGTATTACTATAGAATCAAATCAGTTGGGACTTGCTGTTACCTGTAATAATTATACCATGATATCAACCATTCCATAATTAAGTCTTACTGACTTATCAGACTAATATTGTAGTTTTCAGTTTTAGATTATATTCTTCCTTGGCTTTTATACCCGCTAAAAGGCGTGAATATAAGAAAATATTTGGTCCGAAATAAATGCAAAATTCTTGCCAGCTGCACGTCCATACTTTAAAATTATAAATTTGACAATGAAGGGACATAAAATAAAAAAAATGTAATCGTGTGGTAGCATGAGATTGCCTTGGTAATTGTATAAAGCTCCCCATACTCTTGGCAGAAAGCATGGTACAGTAAGGAGGTAGAACAGCTTCGTGAAACTGCAGAAATACAGCCCTGAGGCAGAAATACAGCCCGCTTCCTGTCAGAATTTTTCAAAATTATAGGTAACAAGTTGTTTTCATTTTTTTGATATTTTTTGTTCATTTCTAAAGTGAGTCAAATAACGCGAAAGATGAATGAAATGCCTGGATGTTCCCTCAAAAATATGATCCTATGTGTTCGGTGCGCGCCTCGCATTTCAAGTTTCTTCCAATCATTGATTTTAAAAATATTTTGTTTTTATTTTTCAAAACAACAAATACATACACAAAGTAGGCAGAAGTCGGGCACACTTAGAAAAAAATTGCAACCAGATGGGAGCTCTACCTTACCTTTTTATTGTACCATGGCAGAATGATACGGATTGTCCATATATTTTGTGATTCCGTCATTATCTATAAGATATAACATATTAATTCTCCTTTAAGGGCAAGGAATTGTCTGTACTTTATCGTTTTCTACCGCGAAGATGACAAGAAGACGAATTAGAGGACAGAAGCCAGGAATGATGCAGATTCAAAATAATATTTCTCCTCTAATTTCATTAGTACACTAGTTCAGTGGGTTGTTTTAATGAATTTTACTACTGAATGCATTGCCCTCGAAGTTATACATTAAACTCATTCGTAAACAAGAGAACCTCTAATTTTCTTCTTTTTGTTTCTTCGTGGACGTTTTTTTTTATTTTGGTTTCACCAGACATTCGTAACAAAACAAAACACCGGCAACTGGTAACAAAGCAGCATCCACCCCTTATTTTAACGTGGGCACTTCGTAGCAAGTAAGTATTAAAAACGTCCACGAAAAACTAATAAATAGTTAAAGACACTACAGTTTTATTTCGGTTCGGGCTTCAGAATCTAAACGCCAGAGTATTATGATTCCTGCCAAATGCACAGCGTTTGAATGTATTTTATTTCTACAATTACAATTTTGGTGTCATATAGGGCGCGAAATTTTTAAACATTTGTCTATTCTGTTCCAGTTCAAGAACAAATAATTTAATTATTTCGTAATTTGATTTATTCCGTACATTTTATAATTTCATTTTAGATTTTTAACAGGATATTCGAATGAAGCGATAAAGGTGAAGGAATATGATTCCCGCTAATATTAAACGAGAAATACCTGAATTTGTTTGCCACTACTTAGCATTTGTGGATAGTTTTGTTGACCTTCAAAGGCAGAAGACTTGGTGGGTATTTACAAAAAATTTAAAGTTCTTTGAATTTTATCGCAAAACACTTGTGGCCAGTGTAAATCTTTCGAACACATGTCTACAAAATGTAAAGGATCAAATAATGGCGTATGAAGGCCCGAAATATTCATCTTATGATGAGAATACTGTGCCAAGCTCGTTTAATATTTGCGTTGGAAAATACGTTTTTCACACTTTGAATGTGCTGAAAGTCTATGTAATAGTAAAGTGTTGGGATAAATGTGTTATATTGCAGCGTTTGCCCAATAAGGGTGGATTTACAATAATTGGTGAACATGAAAATCTTTATGGCTTTCGAATTGTGCATGGATCCGTGAAGTACTCAACAGTATTGGAGCTGGAGTTTGTTGGCGGATCGGTATTAAAATGTGATTTTGAAAAAGAGAAAATAGAAATAAATGATTTTGAGAATCAACGGTCGGAATTGAAGCAACTGTTGGATCGCATTCGTAGCGCTAAGTCAGAGTTGAAGCTACATGAAAGCTTAACCGCACAATCTTTCGATCGACTACAAGATAAATTAACCTATGGTCTTCCACATGTGAGAAGTTTGAAGTTGGAAGAGAAGCAGATATTGGCACGTTGTGGCGATATATGGAAAAGACTTACTTCGCAGAATGATCTAGTAGTTGGAGTACCATTAATAAATCAATGTTCTGCACAGAATCTTACAATAATCCACAATATATATCCTCTTTTGGATGTCGGTTCCGGTAATGAAGAATCGTCAACGTCAATCAAATATCGTTTGTATCAACTTAAATTGTCATTCTATGACTTGGATAGCATTGAAACATTTCTACAATCTGAGGATGAGGATTTTCAAAAGAAAACATGGATTTCAAGTGTAGATTGTCAGCTACTCCCCGAGTCGTTTGGAATTCTTGTTATGAAATTTAAAGTGTACGACATTGTTGACCTTAATCAATGTCCAATTCTGCTTCAATATGACGTATCAAAAAACTATGGATCGTCAATCTCCAATACAACTTTACAAATATATTTGGGAATTTTGGACTTCAACGACATACTTTATGGACATCGTACCGATTACGAAATATCATTTAAAGAAAGCGCTCTACATCAAGACTTCTTAGCTACAGCTATGTCTTCGTTTGAACTGAATTTAGAAATTACCTTCCAACTTCAAAATGATTTGGATGTTTTTGAAAGTTGTTTGCAAGAAAAATTCCAGTTTGTAAAATTACCATCCTTTACAGAAGATACCTTACATCATACTATATACTACAATCATTTTCGAAGCTCGCAGTGGTATGGATGTGTGTGTTTGCGCTACAAGGAAATAGAAGAAGATGAAAATGATTACTCAATAACTTGTTGGAAATTTTACATCCCCACTGTGGAAAATGCTGTAGTTTTTATGAAAATATTTTTAAGTGATTTAGCTACGCTTAAGTGTAACATCATAACAATTCGGAATGTTAGAAAGTATTTGCCTGCTGCCCAAAATGTTGTAGAATTTGAAAACGCTTTGAGGGAGGAACTCAAACTACTGATGGAACTCTTTAAGGAGGAACGAACTGAGGGAAATTTTGAACAGTGGTCGAAATTATTTTCTGAATTCCAAAGTACTCAATTGAATTCTGACAAAATATTTAAAAGGTTGAAAGACGAAACATTGAATGCTTCGTAAATGTATGTAATAATAAAATTGTGTAAATATGCTTTATCTTAGGTTATTTTTTAAATTGAAATCTTTACTTTTTGGAAACGTAATATGATATAGAGCCAATTACCAATTTTTTAAATACATTCAATTTAGAATTTACCGTTTCGTTGAATATAAATCCAGTTGTCTTTTAAATTTTCCGTCTTCAGAACAGTGTTGGCTTTGTTTATTCGGGATATCATAGTATTTTGTTGTTGCAAAATGGTTAGGCTTTATACCTTTATTGTTGTTTTTATAAAAACAACGTTTGTTTATTAGTGGAGAAAGATGGCAATGTTTACCAGGGGGTAAAGCAGGGAATACCTAGGTTTGGAAAGAGACACCAATCCTCATCAGTTCCCTTGTTCTTTTCGTCTGGTATATTCTCCCCCAGAAGTTATATAACTTCTATGACAAAAACGTTTTTTATCCAAGTGAGGAGGAACCAAAGAATTAAATAAAACTAAAATTCTTTTGGAAAATCTTCTAAATCTTACAACCGCACTTACAAACATTTACATCTTTCTCCACTTGTTATGCTTTCGTTCTACCTGAACGAAGAAGCATAACCATGTAAGTTTGTTGGTTTACAACAGCGAGAATGTGCTATACACCTAGAATATCACATTACAGGATAGAATATCAAATTACAAACATTTCCTATGGAAAATGTAGTGATCACTTTGGTCAAAACGTCTTTCGATATAAAATATTTCGTGTACAGAAAAGGGTAAAAATTGCTGTAATTGCATATAAATTTAAAACGAACGTATAAGTTGTGGGTAGCGCGTAAGTCGCTATTGGGTCCTAGAGAGTGGTGATAGAAACTCAGTCACCTTTAACGACGTAACAGTGACCGAAGGCCCTGGTTGAAACGAAAAGTACTACGGTGTGTTATATCTATAACAGTACAAACACTTCACACAGTTTAAGAAAGTTAAGAGAACTACCCTCCGTCTAAGTTTGAGACGTTGGATAATTAACGAGAAATCCAAACCCCGAAGAGTGGCACTGTTTAATCTTCATATTTTCGGGGTTCTATATCCTCCAGACGTTACTTATGTGGATTATTGCTCTGCCAGGACTTGGCTTATTCCTCCATGCGAGGAATATGAAAAGATGTATTCGCCTAACTTCCCTTGTGAGAAAACTGGTTTAGTGTGAATATCATGGTCAAACAAGCTGTCTCTCCCTCCAACCTTTAGCGTTCTTTCCAATAAGTTTTTTCAAACTCTAGGTAACGCAAGTGTCAAAAATTGCTCTCTTTACTCGCGCTTTTGGGTTATCGGAGAGAGTTGAACAGAGAAAATGTTCGACCATTTCAGTCTCTTACGCGTCCTAACAGATCCTTTAGGGTTTAACTCTAGTTTAGTCCAAAAAATCGATAATTTAGAGGTAACTCCCGATTCGTTTTAAATATCAACCACATACAAATTTGTTTTTGTATGTAATACAAGTAAAAAGAACAAGTAATTTTCAATAAATTAAATTTATTTTAAAATTGTACATTTTTGGAATTTAGATTTTTAAATTAAAAATGCTGTATGTCCAAATCTCTCAACACTTCAAGCAATCGCTGGAAAATCGTGGAAAAAGCAAGATCCCTCTCAAATTGGAGCAAACTGCATACATAAAGTACTCTAGATTGCGCAATTTATCTAATATAGTGTCACGAAAAAAGTTTCCGCACCATCGCCATTGGCGTTTCGAATTTTTCTGTTATTAGACAAAAAATACGTTCACATTGCCCTGCAGTTAAATTTTATCTCATAACATTAAGTTCGCCGGGCCGAACTTTTAAAACCCTCCACTTTTGGATATAGTATCTGGATTCTAACGTGTCCCACTTCAATCTACAAATACCAGTAAGATCGTTTGGAGAATGCTGTTAAACTTTCTAAAAACCATGAAGGGACCATACCAAAACGGGAATATCGGTATCGTTTTATGTGCGGTATAGGAAAACGTGGACCTAAATATCCAATGTTCTGCTGCCAGAGCCATGAACTACAAATACCAATTTTTAGACAAATCCGTGGAAATGTGTGGCAAAATTCTGAATATCCAGAGGTACTATTATGTGGTGGCTATACGAAAAAGTGGAATTATACTTACTTTGTTCCGCCACTGGAGCTAGAATCCGTGGAAATGTGTGGCAAAAATCATCAAAATACTGAATATTGGAAGGTACATAAACGTGTACATATTCGTACAATGCGCCACCGGAGCTAGAACACATTATGACAAATACCATTTTTTAGACAAATTCGTAAAAAATGTGGCAAAAATAATCAAAATACTGAATATCGGGAGGTACCGTTATTTGAAACCTATATATAAACGTGCAACTATGCATACAATGTTTCACCACCGGAGCTAGAACCCATTATGGCAAATACCAATTCTTAGACAAATCCGTGAAAAAATGTGGCAAAAATACCGAATAACAGGAGGAGCTATACCAAAACGTGGACCTAATATACTACGTTACGCTCTACGTCAAATAATGTGGCCTGTATCATGATTTCAACAGACAGACAGACGGACATCGTTAAATCGACATAGAATTTTATGCTGATTATGAATACATTTATACTATATGGGGTCTACGAGGAACATTTAGGTATGTTACAAATGGAATGATGACCTCATTTTCAAGGTGGATGGTAGAAAAAGTGTGTACCTATTGTATATCGAGAAATGGGATTAATTCACAAAACGTCATATCAAATTTGACACCGGCTAACGCGAGCCAAAGTTTTCTAAATTTGATACTTTTTGCAAGTATACGGCCTTCGGCCGGGGCTTGAGATGTTCTGCTCTGGGTATGTCCACAATGGTTAACACGAAACAAAGTTTTCTAAATATGATACTTTAGTAAGTCCAACGCCGGCTACGCGAAATAAAAAAAAAAAGAAAGGATGCAAAAATCTTGAAGAATTTTTACTAGAGTTAAGCCATGGCAAAATAACTGAATGTAGAAAAAAGCTACCCCCTAAATACAATTTTTTTCTTTTGGTGATAAAACTTTATTATCCTACAATTTTAGATTCAACCCTGTTCAATAACCCAAAAATTCCATTCTTGTTTGGCGGGTTTTCCTTAATATAAGAGTTTTGTAAAAAAAAAATTAAAATTAAACAAAGCCTACTGTTGCATATTTAAAAGTCTATATAAGACTCCATTACAGAGTTACATTTTTCTAGTTTCTTATAAGCCAAAAGATTTTCCTCTTTTAGTGGACGTGGCAAACATAATTCTTCCATGTTCACTGGGTTGATTTTTAAATTATATCTTTCTCAGCTTCATATAATAACTCAAAATGGCGATTTTTGTAAGCCTAGAACCGTTTTCTTATCAGTGAAATTTTCAAACGACCAAAAACCAAGTAAGGAGAAGGAAATATATTTTTCACTCCTTCATTGTCATTCCCAACAACAATTCTTCGTGTAGAAAAGGGAAGGACATATATCTTTCCACTCCTTCTAGGCTACAAAAAGGGATTAACAGCAACAAGGAAAAGGGATTAAATATTGGTCTGTTCCAGAGCTGCAAGAATGTTAAAGTTGCAACACTAGTAGATTCGTGCAGAGACTGGAACAGAGCATTTGTTTCGCTTTCTTTGTTAATTCCACCCGTTTTCGATCTGGAGAGACCTACTTTTGTGAGTTCCATTGCTTGATTGTTTATAAACATAAACTTTGTAAGTTTGTTTAAAAATGGAAAAAACTGAAAGCACTCAGATCACTGGTAATGCTAGACGTAAAATATTAAGTCTAGCTGTTTCGCAAATTCTTATGGAAAAGGGATTCGACAGCGCTGACAAGGAATGCCTGGAAACACTGACGGAGATGTTACAAAGTTGTGAGTGGGAAATCTTTACTGAAATAATAATTAAAAACTATACATTATGCGTTTGCCTTATTCTTTTAGTACTCGTTGAAGTAGGACAATCTGCCAGAAGCTACTGTGAACTATCAGGACGTACTATCCCAGTAGTTGGTGATGTGGTTGTTGCTCTGGTAAATATGGGAGTTTCTTTGCAGGGCATTGAGGCATTTGCCAAGCGAGAAGGTCGACAAATCATATCAATGCCGCCACAACAGCAATCTAACAAACAATTACCGTTATTACAAGCTGGTACAAAATCCCAGCATCCTCCACATATTTTACCGTATCTGCCACTCTTCCCAGATCCTCATGCCTATGTCCGAACACCGGTAAGATGTGTTGGTCTGGTCAATTTTGATTTGCAAATAATTTCACATGTCATGTTGTAGACCCACAAACAACCCGTAACAGAATACGAAGCAATTAGAGAAAAAGCAGCTACCCAAAAAAGAGACATCGAAAAGGCTCTAACAAAATTTTTGGCAAAAACATCGGAGACTCACAGTCTCTTTGACACTGAAGATAATATGTTTCCTCGTAAGCAATATTAATATAATTTTTAAAAGAACATTAATTTAAGGCCTTTTTTATTTTATAGTGATTGCTTGCAAACCAGCGTTTCCAACTTATCTAGCCGCTTTAAATCCCACAGACCAAGTGTTTGATTTTGAGGAATTGGAATATCACTATTTGGTGGCCAATAGAACAGAAGATTGCAAAGGTATTTTAAATGAGATTTGCAGCAATGCCGGTTTTTTGCATATTCTTTAATTTCTTAGACGATGATGAAAATGAAAGCGGAAATGATGAAGAAGGTGGAAGCAATGATAATGGAGGGGGTAGCGGTAGTGGTGGCGTTACTGACGAAGCGGAGAAAAAATCAGAAAAACCGGAAAAGGAAGTTAAGCCAGAAAATGACATAAAGCCAAACTCAACAACAAATAAAGCCATTTTAGAAAATCCCAATATTGACAATCCGTATTTAAGAGCGGCAACGCTACCGAAGCGCACAAAACCAGATCCCTTGGCGGCGGTGTCATTATAATGTACATGATGGTGTTATTAAAAAGTCGATATTTTTGTGCATTAAAAGAATTTGATAGTAACACAATTAGAGTTGTGATTTTATTCAAATTTGGTGAAAACTTGAAATTATGTAAAATAATGATTTTTTGCCACTGCTTTTTAAATGTCGGTATGTCATGGTGCTGTGGTCGGCAGATCGTATTTAATTCATACTTAATACTAAAGCCTTCAAGGCCTTACTTTTTACTTTTTTAATTAAGAAAACTGATTCGGCATTGTTATTGTGTTATTTGTCCATATAATATAGAAAAACTAATATTTTTATTTCTTAAAATGTGTAAGAGCTCGGCCGACTTTAGGTCTGCTTTTATAACATTCTCGGCAGGTTGACTATGCTCACATTTAATGCTAAAGAGATTTCAATTTTACAATGTGCCACATAGTAGATGAAACATCAAAATGATTTATTTTTTTTTCTTTATTTTCACCAACGTGGAAAATTTTATATCATATTATTGGCTTCTACGTTCTTTTGACAATGGATTACTACAATCCTAATGAAAAATTGCTCGTTTTAACGGAATTTTGATGAAACAATGTCGACTCGTTTTGGCATAAATCGATCACCATCAAGAATTTGAATGATCATAAAATAATCTTTTCATGGAAATTATGATTAAATTTTGAAAACATAATAATAGGGGCATACAATGCTACCAACACCTAATTAATAAGAATACGGATAATAATGTCCCAAATGCGGACCTGATGTTGACGTCAAACACATTCTTCTTGCCGCAAACTATCCCAACAACAACGCACACTTTTGCAGAGCAGAGGCGTTGATTTACTTAAAACCGTCACTCAAAAAATGTAAACTCAATATTTATGTACATAACACGAAACAACTTAATCATTTGAAAAACAATTAAATATACAGGGTGAGATGAAAAAACTGCATCTTTCTTCAGACTGCTGTCATTTCTATGCCACTCGTCCGACAGCTGTTACAATTATTCCAGTGACAGCTCATTATATTGTTTACAAGCGTACAAAAGCATTTTGGTGAGAATTTTCCATAAAAAAAGTTATTCGTGATGGAATTTAAGCGTGATAGTAGAAATCACACTATCATTTGGCTGAAAACCCACAAGTGGATATCGTTAGAGCACTCAAGCATTTAAATGTGAATAAATCTTTTGTGTCTCGTACCATCGCTCGTTACCGTGATACTGGCACACAAAAGAGCTAAAGAGTTGCTTCGCTTGGTGAACTGCCGACTTTGGTTTTATCCGATGAGAAAAAATTCGTTGTCCAGGAGTTTGTAAACAAACAAAATGATCGTGTTTACTTGTCAAAGTGGTCAGCTGAAAATGTGCACCTTCGTTTGGCCAGCAGAACTCAATCGCCGGTCATGGTGATGGTGTGGGCCGCCATAACAGCCGAAGGTCGCTCTTCGCTCGTATTAATCTAATGTGGCATCAGAATAAATGCCGAATATTATCGCGAAAATATTTTGGAGGGTGTATTAAAACCTTGGGCACGCAAACATTTTGGCCGCAGATCTTGGACATTCCAACAGGACTAAGCACAATCGCACTCAGCACGCGCCACCCAAGAATGGTTACAAAATGAGGTTCCCCGCTTCATTTCCAGAGCACAATGGCCACTAAAATATCCCGATACCAATCCGTTGGTCTGTTGTGTCTAGAGTATTTTGGAAAGCAAGGTTGGCACTAAAAATACCAAAGTGTCGATCACCTCAAGCAAGTGCTTTGTCGGGAATTGGTCAAAATAGCGCAGAGCACCATTGGCGTTTAAAGGCTACAGTTCGTGCCAAAGGTGACCAATTTGAACAAATCTAAACTTATTCTAACATTTGATGCTATTTCCGACATGTTTTGCTTTCATTAAATTAAATTTAAAAAAGAATGTAAAAATTTTGGCGTTTGACTTTGTAGCTAATGTTCCTGCACTCCGTGTAATTATCCTTACATTAACTATATGTATAATTGTAAAAAATAAAAAAATAATTTCATAAGATCAAACACATAATAAACATAATTTTCCTATCATAGGCCACGAATTACATGTCTTTGACATATTTTAGTTGTCACAGCAACTATTTATTGAAATTTGACCCATTTACACCCGGCATTTATGAAAAAGCATTTTATTGGACTTCGTGTCTTTTCAATGACACATAAAAACGTATTCAAAATTATACCAATACAAAATATTTGGTATAAAAAGTAATAAAAAGGTACATATGCATATTATATTTAGTGTAATAAAATGTTTGCAATTCCAGTTGCTGTTATAAAATAACCAACAAATTTAAATAATACATTAAATGCGTTCTGGTTCTTCCAATCTGTTAAGATGAAAATCTCAATTACTTTCAATTTTTAATTACAAATGCAAAAAAATACTTACCGTAATATCTTTATAAAGTCTTCGGACATCAATGTCATATCTTGAGGCGTTAAGAAAGAATACTGTCGAAGTGGACGTCTACGTCCTTCATCGATGAGCAGACGTGTCATGTACTCTCGGTTCACTTCATCCTAATATAAACGATCGTATTTAGAAACAAAAATATGAGATCGGATGCCTTTATGCTCACCGTAAAAACATCGTACTCATCCAAAAAACAAAAAGGATGATCAACACATGACCATAAAGATATGAGAAAAGCTACAGTGCTATAAGACCGTTCTCCTCCAGACAAAGATTTCGTGTCGGAAACTGCATTTTTATTATGACCGCGTGGTATAACCGAAAGCTTCAATGTTTTCTGCTGGTGATTTACATCCAATGAACCTTCAAAGTTGCGCAATCGCAGAATCGTCTAATAATAAGAGAAAACATATTAAAATTTCCAAGTCATTGCTCTAATTTGGATGATAATTACGTTAAACGATATTTGTAAAAGCATTGCCATGTGTTCCTTCAGTTTCTTTAAAAAGTCGAAACGGAATCTTAAAGATTTTCTTAGCTGTGTGAAGAGTAGATATTTTAAACCCAGTGTAAATTAAACGGTTATTAGTCAATTACCGAATAAATGGAGTGCTTTATGTTCTCATATTTGCCTTCATTGGCTAGTAATGCCTCTTTCTTTGTCATAATTAGCTGTCGCATGGACCGTGGGTCCAAGCTCACTGGCTTACCATGTTTAATTTTTGCCTTTACTTTTGATATCTCGTCTTGGAGTTGATCTCCACTTAGATCGCTTTCAATTCGTTCACCTTTTTCTGCAGCATCTTTTGTACAAGCATCAACTTTTCTTGACATTTCCATATGCTCAGCTTTCAATTTATTTATGACGTCTTGCACTTCCGACAATTTGACGCGATACGAAGAATCGTTGTTGTTAACACTACGGAGTTTCATTTTCTTTCGATCTACAGTAGACTGAACATTTGTTTATAACTAACGATTGCTTCTTATATTAATATGTTTTCAAAATAAATGTAGTTAATGTTGTTAGAAAGTTAACAAACCTTGAAAGCCTCTATGTCATTTTTTATTTTCTGAAGTTCATTTTCTTTGGATTGCAGCTCCGCTCCAATTTGAATTTTTTCATTGTCAACATCCGATAATTGACCTCTCGTTTCACTTATTTTTTGTTCAATTTCTGCTAGGTGAGTTTCATAATCACCCATTTCTTTTTCCTTTTTTTTAAACAAACGTGCCATTAAAAAGTTTAATTGTGCTAATCGTTTTTATTCTTACCAAGAACTGAATTTCGTTACTATAATCAGCATATTCTATATTGTCCAGTTCCGCTATTTTTTCCATAATCTCTCGGTGGGCATTTTCTTGTTTTAATAAAAGTTCCCGTTGCTCTTGTATGAGCTTAATAACTTGAGGTATTTGATTGCTCATTTGACTCAGATCGGTTTCATATGATTTATTCTTTAGCTCTAGTGATTGTTTTTCATTTTCCAAGTGCCTATAACCAACATTATTTGTATTTTTCAATTAAATAAAAAAACGACTTACCTAATACGTTCTTCGATATTAACTTGTATGTAATTGGCTGGTCTAACTTTATTTGAATACATTCGATACTTCGGCATAGGATAATATTCCATACAACTGTTGCCTTCTTTGAGAACCAAGACCCTCGATAGATTTTTGGGAACATTTTCAATATGCGAAGTAATTGTTTCGGCAATTTCTTTACTATTTGTAAGCAAAATAGATTCGATGCCAAGACGGTCAATAAGGCAGTTCATTACAGTTGCATCAGAACATCTGATTTCGTGAAGAAGCAAATGCGTGCCTTTCGGTGGGTTTACACACCCACCACTAACATCATAGACCTTTCAAGAAACAAGCCGGTAAACTTTGATGAAAAAATTGCAATACCAAAATTTCTTACCTTGTCGGAAAATGCTACAGTTATTATAATAGGACGACAATTTTCATATTTAGTAAAAATGTTTTCCAAGATTTGCCTATCTTTTGCATTGTTTACTAGAAATGCTCCCAGCAATCCACGGCCGATGGAGTTTTCAATAACATCTCGGTATTGGCTGTTGGCCACATCTACATAACTGCCAATAGGTCCCTTGGTAACGTAGAAAAAAGGCCTTGTGAATGTGCTTTTCGAATATCTGTCAAAAGCTCGGGCATATGCTTTCCGTATATTAATATCTTATTTTTGGCACTGGCTTTTACATTGGCTATCTCTACACTTCGAAGACCTGGAATGGGAACAAAGGTTAAGGCAAATCGTAGTTTCAAATTTATTTTTGGCGACTTACGTATTTCGTCTAAGCACTCCCTTTGTTGGCGTTTAATTTCATTTACTACTTGTTCCTTTTGTGCCTTGCTATCATTATGGAGTTTAAGTTCGCGCTTAATATTTTCAATCATTGGGCCTACATGACTTTCACATTGCTGGCGAAGTTTTAAAATTTCATTTTGGTTTTGAGCACGTAAAGTATCTACATCATCTTGATTGCTAAAAAAGTTATGAGACACATATTTTATATGAACTCGCTTCAGCGGTTATGTTATGTAACTTACCCTTGAGATTTTTCATCGATATATTTCTTAATTTCTTCAATCTGATGCTCCAACCGAGATTTTTTCTTTTTTAGTATGTCTAGGGAGTTTTTAAATTCGGATGTTAGCTTGTTTATCTCATCATCTTTATTCTTTAACTCCCTGTACTCCCTGTTGACTTTATCATAATTACTGTTTTTCAACGTTATTCCTTCTTCATCTTTTCTATAATATAAATTAAGTCTCCAATCAAGTATTTATTTAATCACAAGTTATTATTTACCTGATTTCCTGACTTAATATTTGGCAAACTTCATCTTTGTTCTGTATTAGATTTTTAAGTTCACGCTCCTTTTCGTCGTATTTTGCAAGTTTATCGCTTATTTCATGAAGTTGATTCTCACATTGCTGAACTTTTTGCCATGCATGCTCGATTTCCAAGCGTTTAAGAACATCCTTAAATAGAGATTTTTTCTACTTATTGAACACAAAAATGCTCTATTTCTATAATTACCATTAGTTTTTCAAATGATAAAAGCTCTTTCAGTTTATTTTCATGTTCGGCTATATCTTCCTTTTCTTTTTTTAATCTCTGAAAGGATAGAATATATAAATAGGACTCTTTGTTAAACTTCCTTAATAAGAAAATCGGTAAACATATTGTAATGTGTTAAATTTAAAGCATACTTAAAATCAATGAAAATTCACGAAAAGCCCTTTAAAATAATGTAATATTCTATTTCAATAAAACTTCAAGTGGTAGATTTCGGGTTAAGTTTAGATTTCACCCCCAAAATACATTTACATGATATCTAATTTTTGCCTAGTTTATATTTGTTTAATAAATTATCGTAGTCTATGGGGAATGTACTTACAATTTCATAATTTTTTAATTCTTCCATGTGATCTTTGTGTAAATGAAGGGAATCGGCTAGTTTTTCATGAACGACATCAATTTGTGTCGCTTTTAGAAAAAGCTGATAATTTTTTGAAGGTTCCAATCTGAAATATACGATACTCCAATTAAATTACTTTTAAATGAAATCAATTTGAAACATACTCCTTTAAAAATTCTCTAGCGCTGTCCTGGTTTAGTACAAAAACCGGATTATCCACTTGCACATTATGATACATAAGAATTCTGTGCAAATCATCGACTTTCTTACTGACAACCTGTCCAGAATCACTCTTTATTACATACGAACCGGAGAATAATGAAATAGTTCTTACTATGATAATCTTGTCACCATATACGTCGGGCTCATACGGCTGGGCACCATCATTCGCCAAAACTATTTCAATTTTTGCGCTGGTTTCCCCATTCTTTATAAAAGCTGGTGATTGAAGAGGTGGTAAGTAATAACTGGTGGATTATCTTTTTTAAACAAACCTTTTGCACTTCGAGACCTGTTGGTCGTTCTGGCACTTCCACCCAATCCCAACACCAAAGCAGCAAGTATAGCACTTTTGCCACTTCCATTGCTTCCCACCAAAAAATTTACTCGAGAATGAAATTCAACGGTTAGATTAGAGTGACACATAAAGTTTGTTAGATGCATCAACAATATCTTTCCACATCGCTTATCCTGGATTATACTAGTGTTGGCTCCTTGAGATTGTGTCTAGAATATTTTGGATAAGTTTCTTTAATCTTGTTCTTTTATGAATAGATTTGTTCATCTCACAGAATTGTTTTGCGTTAATCGTCGTTTGGTAGGTGCTGTTTGGGAATCATTTACACCACCGCCGGAAATCCGCCGCTTGCGAACCAAGCTTAAACTCATTTCGACTCTTTAAAGTGATACAAGTTGTCTTTGGTGCCCATATGATGCCTTTAATATTATTTTTGCTTTTGTTTTAAACTCAACAAATATTCAATATTTAATATTCAAGAATTAATGCGCATTATGTTATAACTGAATAAGAAAACAGAGAGTAACAAGTTAAAAAGCAGTAAGTTCGGCCGGGCCGAACTTTTAATACCCTCCACCATTTACAACGAATTTGGAAATTTTCAAAATATAAAATCCTTAAAAAATTCTGTTAAAATTTTAAAAATACCGAATATAGCCGTTATATTGGGTTCTATACGACGTGGACATACATAGGCATTGCTTGTCATAAGCCATTAGCATATTCAAATTCGAAACTTGAAATAAACGGTGAATAATGTAGCTAAAATCATCAAAATATCGTATATAAGGAGGTGCCGTTAAATTGGAGCTGTGCGAAGACCTTAACCAGCATAGACAATTTTTTGTCACAGGCTGTAGCATCCATTACGAACTTCAAATACCATATCTCAAACAATTTCGGTGGGTATTGTACCTAAAACCGTCAAAATGCTGAATATAGGGAGGTACTGATATATGGGGCCTATACGAAGACCTGGACCCGCACAGACAATTTTCTGTCATAGACTGTAGTTCAAATACCAATTTTGAAACAATTCCGGTGAATAATGTCGCTAAAATCATCAAAATACCGAATATAGGGAGGTACCGTTATATGGGGGCTATACGAAGACGTGGACCTGCACAAATAATTTTCTGTCTTAGGGTGTAGTATCCATTTTGAACTTTAAATACCAAATTTGAAACAATTCCCGTGAATAATATCGCTAAAATCATCAAAATACCGAATATCGGGAGGTACCGTTATATGGGGGCTATACGAAGACGTGGACCTGCACAGACAATTTTCTGTCTTAGGGTGTAGTATGCATTTTGAACTTCAAATACCAAATTTTAAATTACTTCCGGGAAAAAGGTCGCTAAAATCATCAAAATACCGAATATCGGGAGGTACCGTTATATGGGGGCTATACGAAGACATGGACTTACACAGACAATTTTCTATCTTAGGGTGTAGTATCCATTTGGAACTTCAAATACCAAATTTGAAACAATTCGGGTGAATAATGTCGCTAAAATCATCAAAATGCCGAATACAGGGAGGTACCGTTATATGGGGGCTATATGAAAGCGAGATTACAACAGACGGACGGACGGACAGACAGACAGATGGACATCGCTAAATCGACTTAGAATTTTACGCTGATCAAGAATATATATACTTTGTTGGGTCTGACATGAGTATTTCGAGGAGTTACAAACGGAATGACAAAGTTAATATACCCTCCATAGTATGGTGGAGTGTATAAAAATCAGAAATGAAAACACAAACAAAAATGCAATTCTAGAATCTAGAGCTACGTTGTGATTCACACAAAGGGGTTCCTTGTTTCTCTTTTGTGCGCAAAATAAAGTAGAAGAGAGTTCGTGGTAGATGCAGATTGCCATGTCAAAAATATTTAATCAATTTTGGAAAAATAAATTCATTTGCAACTATTTTTTATAACAACTCTAATTTATATAATTATTTAATATCAATAAAAGCTATATAGAATTAAGAAGATAAAGTCATTCAATCATATGTTGACAATTTTATCAATATAAGGTGTGTCTGGTTACTTTTCCTACAGGAATTGTCCAGCAACATCTTTCTTAGAGAGTAAAGGTGGGAATACATTAAGGGCTTATTTGACTGGCTTAAGTCATCGACTGGATTCTTCGTAGAGGAACAAAGGAGATTTAGGTTAACTTAGTTCGATTTAGGCCCTGAAGCCAGCCGATGATTAAGGCTGCAAATACATAAAAAGCTTGAAGTCATGGCTAGGCATATTAATGCCAAATTATAATGAAAAACGACGTTTTTCAAATTTTGTAAACTTGTTCTCCAAAAACAATTAGTATTCCTAATTCAAAAACAATTCAGATTGAAAGCACAAAAAGAAATAAATAAACAATATAAAACATCTGATTGAATGTCGACGAATGAGAAGAAGAATATGTTTTCTTATAGTACGTCATTCGGAGGCTATTATAATTCGCGTTTTTGAACAATTTTTACAAATTTAAATAATTTTTCATTCAACATTTTAATTCCAAAATTGGTTTGACAGTTCATTGTCCCAGCAGCAGTGTCGACGCGTCTACCTATATTTTTCTACCATGAAGAATTCGAAAACTCTCACTCATGATCCAAGTATTAGGTCCCCCTTCCAGCTCAGCTGATTACCAAACGATCTGCCAATTAAATTTGAATTCATTGCAACCAAAACAAACTTCAAAACCATGGTAGAACAATACAGGTAGTCGCATCGCATAGCTGCTGGGAAAATGAACAGTTAAACCAATTTTTAAATTTAAAATTATTCATATTTCTAATTAACCATTAGTGTCGTATAACAAAACTTTTAAAATGTACTTATTTTTGAAAGAGAAAATCCCGGCATTTCATCCACTTTTGGCGCAATTTAACTAATTTTAAAAAAAATACGAAAAAAAGGAAAAATACGAAAAGAAAATAATAACTTGTGTATAATTTTGAATGAGTCTGACTGGAAGCGGGCATAGCCTAAGGGCTGTTTTTCTGTAGTTTTACGAATTATTATTATTTACCATGGACAAAACTTGTAAATCTCTGTAATGCACGCCCGGCAATGTTCTTTTCTTCCAATCATCAGTTTTGAAAATATGTTGTTTTTATTATTCAAAACAAAAAATACATACACAACAATGACAGAAGTCGGGTACATTTAAGGTGAGGGTACATGAGCGGCTTGGGATCATGGATAGGCATTTTAATATCAAATTATAATAGGATTCGAGTGCTGCGTTGGCATCTCTTTATGATATGTCACAAAATATGTCATGCAAAGACCTCAAGCAGTTTATGTACTCACCAGAAAAAAATTTATTAGGTAGCTCTTCTTGATTATACCATGAATTTAATATAAATAGAATACAACAACATATTGACAAGACGATGAACCTAAAAGAAGATACTGACAACATAAGTTCGTGCTATGGAGTGGCAATAAAGTAAAAAACTGTGATACTAATTTTTAAGTAGTGTAGTTTATTATATGTTCTATGTAAACTCGTCTTAAAAATTATATTGTAAGTTTATCCCATCTTGTGAATTAATATGGAATTGAAATGTTAATTTTTGATTTATTTAAATAGACGAATTCCCCAGAAGAAGTCGCCAAAAAAGCGACGAAACGTCGGGAATAAAATACAAAATAAAATAATTTTGTTTTATTTTGTATATAAAACCTAAGGTCAAGAAGCTAAAACAAACAAACCATAAGATGTCTAATGTTGATTGAATTGAATAGCTTTTCGTTTTTTAGTAGGCATTTGACACAACAGTGCATAACATTATTCTCGCGATCTATTTACTTTTTATAGCATAAAGAATCTACGGAGACACAAAAACAAAACTCTGTGTGTTGATTTTCTTATTTTTAATTTTTTTTCTTTTGTGCTGTATTCTGTCAAAACACGACGCTAATGGACCTAATTTTGGAATAAAACTGTATTGTCCTATTATTTTAGATTCAATCTCGTAGAATAAGCCCATTCTAGTATCGCGGATTTTTGCAAATTTAAGAATTTTGTAAAAAAAAAAATAAATATGAACAAAACCACTGTTGCATATTTAAAATTATATTTAACACTATAAGTTACAGAGTTGCATTTTTCTAGTTTCTTTGAAGTTGAGCAACCTTTCTTATTGAGCCATGATATTACTTATTTATTAATACAATTTCTTTTTTTTGTGTATGTATATGTGTATGTACAATGGATATATAAATATACATTTCTAAAAATATGTTCTTAGTTCTATCATGATATAACTTAATAATACAAAAAATTTAATGTTAGAAATTGGAATTGAACTGAAAAATGTATTAATTTTTACAATATTTTTGTTTGGTAGATTCTGAAATGTGGACCTGGCGTATTTGGGTAATGTGGACTCACAAAACATTTTACCATAGTGGGGATGTTGAGTAGAGTGTAGAGTGCTACGTTTAAATTTAGGTAAAGCTGTTACTATTATTTCATTACGAACATAAGTTATTTTTGTGTCAGATTTTCTAATACCAATCGACTTTCAATTGTCAGGATAACAACCTTATGCTAGGAACACAATTGGAGCGAACGACGAATTTTTTCGCGGCGTATGTTCGTCGTCAAAAATAAAACACATATGTGTATATGGAAGTGCACACAATCACGGCACCGGCGAAAATTTCGTCGGTCGCCGCGAACTCAATTAGCTTTATTTCTATTTCATACGCCGGCGACCGGCGAACAAAACAGTACAAGGTGGCCATACTTGTACGAATTTTATGTGTTTTAGTAAATAAAGTTACTTTTTACTTTAAAATTTGTTATGGTCACTCTACTATCTGTTACTCGTATAAAAAAAAACATAATTAATTTGTTTATTTATTTGTGTACTTGCGCCTGAGTGAAGATGGATATCAGTGAATTTATAATAGAGAAGATGGACATTAGTGAAATTATAATAGAGAACGTAAAGAATTATGTGTTCTTGTATAATTCATTGTAGTCAACAAATGAGCAAAAAGTAAACAACTTCATCAGCTGTTTTATAATTTCGTCGGTATTGTGTTCCATACGACGAATTTTCGCGGCTCATTTTGTCGCCGCGTAGGGCGAAATTCGTCGTTCGCTCCAATTGTGTTCCTAGCATTATAAAACAGCTGATGAAGTTGTTTACTTTTTGCTCATTTGTTGACTACAATGAATTATACAAGAACACATAATTCTTTACGTTCTCTATTATAATTTCACTTATGTCCATCTTCTCTATTATAAATTCACTGATATCCATCTTCACTCAGGCGCAAGTACACAAATAAATAAACAAATTAATTATGTTTTTTTATACGAGTAACAGATAGTAGAGTGACCATAACAAATTTTAAAGTAAAAAGTAACTTTATTTACTAAAACACATAAAATTCGTACAAGTATGGCCACCTTGTACTGTTTTGTTCGCCGGTCGCCGGCGTATGAAATAGAAATAAAGCTAATTGAGTTCGCGGCGACCGACGAAATTTTCGCCGGTGCCGTGATTGTGTGCACTTCCATATACACATATGTGTTTTATTTTTGACGACGAACATACGCCGCGAAAAAATTCGTCGTTCGCTCCAATTGTGTTCCTAGCATTAAAGAAACCATTGAAAATTCAATGGCGTATTTGGGTAATGTGGACTCACAAAACATTTTACCATAGTGGGGATGTTGAGTAGAGTGTACGCTACGTTTAAATATAGGTAACGCTGTTACTATTATTTCATTACGAACATAAGTTATTTTTGTGTCAGATTTTCTAATACCAATCGACTTTCAATTGTCAGGATAACAACCTTAAAGAAACCATTGAAAATTCAAAAATCCATGTAACGGCTGATGCGGCGTAATCGCTTACGTCGTACGCCTGTCAGATTATTAGACAGACTCCCACGGTCAATTTTCAAATTTGAGATCCCTAACAAAGATTAGTTTGCAGTTTACTTTCTTTCAAAAGTCCGAATTGAAAACCACTTTTTAAGCAGTTTGAAAGTTTCCAAAAATGACTGAAGAATGGTGTTGCGAAAAACTGGAGAACTTAAAAATAAAGGAGAATCGTTTGTCTACCTTGGAGGAGATTAGAGGTCGTCTTAATGAAACTCCCAACTTAGCATCTAAGGTTACAAACCGTTTGCTAACATCTCCCGAAATATATGACTGCTTGGAAGTGGAGGATGATGAGGCGCCAGTAGATGCCAGCGCTGATCCTATGAACTTGGTGAGCGACATTCTCTCCATATGTATGTCCAATTTATCCTTGAGGCAAAACGATTTACCAAAACTGTTGGACAGAGCATTGCAGCACAAGAGGCCACGAATACGTGCCTTAGCATTGAATGCCATACTCAAGGAATTAGAAAATCAAATAAGTGATGACAATATGGGAGATGCCATTTCTGACGACCTACTACGACACCTGTTAAGAGCCTTGCAAGAACCTGAGACACAACTAGGCAGTCCGGCTCTCAAAATTCTGACCATTGTTTTAGAAGATCATTTGGAAAAGCCCTTTATAAAAGATACATTTTTAGAAGCACTAAAGGGTTCTGAAGTAGTCAAGTGTCGACTTTACGAGTTGGCTGTTAATCTTTCAAAAGGATCTGCTGCAACTTTAGAAAAAGTGGGTTTCGTACTTGATCATGCATTGTCGGAACTAGACAACGATGATGTTTTGTTGCAAGTAAATATCCTGGAAATTCTTGCTTCGCTGGCTGAACAAAATCATGGTATAACATTTTTGGAAAAGCAGCAAGTTTTTGATGTCATTAGCAAAAAAGTTGAGCTTATCGAACAGAATCCATTAGATCGTTTATTGGTACCAGGCATAATGAAGTTCTTCGGTAAAATTTCAAGTATACAACCGCAGAAGATCATAACTGGTTATCCGCGAATGATACAATGTTTGTTTGAGTGTTTACACTCTGGAGATGTATCCCTCTTGCCAGCAGCTTTCGATACGTTGGGTAATATTTCTCTTATTTTTTGTTTAATATTTTTTCAGCAAAAATAATCCCGTCTTTTAAAAAAGAAATTTCGTAAAATGCAATACACTACAACATTTTAATGGTATCGAAAGTTCCAGTCTTAAGAAATAATATAAAATGTTTTTGGTTAACGTAGTCGCTATTCTCAGAGTTTTACCCATACACGACCATAGATAGAATTCAATTGCAATTACCCTTAGGGTAAGGATCGCTTACTCACCATGAGCCAGGTACAACCAAAAATGTATTGCAATGTTATTTGCAAAATATACAATTTACGACGAGTTAAAGTAATATAGTTCTGTGAAAGTCGGTTTAAAATTACTGACAGAAACTAATTAACCTAAATGGTGACTTATTTCTATGAGAAAATCCGAAGGTTAAACATGACCAGTCTGGTTTGTAATTTTGATAAATTAATTAATCTAAGCCTATAAGAAACCCCGTTCCACATTGCGTTGATATTTTCAAATTCATTTTGCTTTACATATTTCAGCTAATCTATGCCAATCTCAACAAGGTGTCGTTCTGTTGGAGGAACACTATAGTAATGATGTTAAGGAAAGTTTAGAGGATTATAGTTCTTATTTGAGGAACTTGCCATCAGAATTAAAAAATCGAGCATTTAGTAGTTTGGAAATTATATTTACATTTGATGAACCCGTTTCGAATAATGTGAGGTATGTTAGATTATTTAAATTCTTTTAACAAATTAGAATTCGAATTAATTTAATTATTTTTGGCTAAGTGATATTTTGCGCAAATGGTTTGGTCACTTGAATGGCGGAGAAAAACATATGCAATTTCTTATGGACTTTTGTCGCAATCCATTCCCGGATATTAAAATTTCTACACTGAATTTAATTGGTGCTGCATGCCTGTACCCCTGGGGTATTGAGACATTGAAAAATACAGCTGGCTTTTTGGAATATCTTTTAGATCGTAAAATTGAATTCGACAAAGAAGCGAAATATGCAAAATATTGTGTTATCAAAATTTTAGCGGAAAGCTGTGCTTTTGATGTTGAGACAAACAACCAATTGCGTACGTATGTCAACGAGGGCCCTTATTATGTGCAGTCAATCATGGATGTTGCTGTAGAGGGGAATTGAATAAAATTATTTGACTTTATACATTTATTTTACAATGTAAATGTAATTCAACCATTTATGCATAACAATTTTTACAATAAAATATATCCTTAAAAACTACATAACTAACTGTAATAGAATTAAAGAGCATATGCAGACTGATATTAGGATTGGAACTGAAATAACTGATTAACTGAACTTTTTATCACATATGGACAATTCTGGAGATAAAACCCGGTAAACCGGATAAAAAGATACTATGAAATACCATTCCATTAGAAGAAAATCCATATTTTCTTATCGGAAAACCCCCCAAAACGACGAAAATGGTGCATTATGGGAATATACAATAGGAACTACAATGCAAACTATAGTGCACACTCTTGCCTTTCCAAAATATGTGTCACAATTTTGTTTCAAGAAATATTGGTTTTATAATTTTAATTTATGGTAACAGTTTTGTATAAAAACAGAAAATGTTGGAATAGAAAATTAGAAACGCTTTGGATCATATTTTTGAAAGAAATTCCCGGCATTTCAGCCATCTTTCATGCTTTTTAACTGATTTAAAAAGACAAGGTAAAATATTATCTTAATAAAAACAACTTGTTGTATATCATTTTGAATAATTCTGACGGAAAGTAAGTGCATTTCAGTAGTTACGTCGACCAAGTACGTCAATAGGTAATCAATAGGTAACGCTGCTTGGCAAAACAATAGAGGTAAACTCATTTGCTATTTTATTATTATTATTATTTGTTGAATCTTTCATATATTTCAATGAAAATAACAATAAGGTTTCATATCTTACATACGATTATTTTTTATAGGGAGGTTGTCAATACAATCACCCTATATTTTTTCATGCTTTAAATATTAATTATTATTAATTTTATTTATTTTTTTAAGATATAGATGTGTGTTTTTGTGGGGTTGTGGATACAGTTATATTCATGAATTAATTGAGTGGGTAATTCAGATTATTTTAGATACAGTTATATCCATGGTACAATGAATTCAAGGTAGGGCAGAACTACCATATGATTTAAATTTTTTTTACTTTTCTGGCTTAATATGTCAACTTCATTTGCTTATGTGTGTGTGTCTTCTTTTCAATAATAAAAAAATGTTCAGAAAATATTCAAATTCGGGTGTTTTCAAAATGCTTATTGCAAGGAATGCATCGACAAAATTTACAGTTTTTGTCGCGAAATAAACCATAAAAGATATATAGAACATGATATTGAAAAGAAATTTTGACCATTCATTCAGTTTTCGCGGTTTTAAATTATTTATTCAAAATCAATGCAACAAGTTGTTTGCTTTTTTATTGTTTTGATAGTAATTCTGACATTACAAGCCAAACAGGTGGACCTCTATACTTGCAATTTTTTCAAAGTTGGCCTACCTTCTCTTCATTGTACCATGGTTATATCTAAGTGAATCGCGGACTACAAGAATAGTTTTACGGATATAATGTTGCTTTGTTTAGATACAGTTATATCTAATAATCGCGCGGACTACAGTAATAGTCTTCCGATTTCTTCACAGAAGCGGCTTCCCTTTTAGCATACTACTACCTGTAGAATTATAACAGTGGGCGACGAAAAAAACCAGACAAGAGCTGAAAATAAAGAGAGAGTAAGACAAACATAACCTATGAGATAGAAAGAGTGTAGGAGTTGGCGGGCCAAGCTATTTGGGTGCTCGGATAGTTTGGCAAAATCTTCACAATATTTAAATTTCTTTCAACTGTACGCCCATATTTAAGGAGGAACTACAAAATGTAAATTTGACATCGAAGGAACATCAAATAAAAAAATTGAATCATACAATTGCATGAGAAAACCTTGGTAATTGTAAAATTGTAGAAGAATACAGGTAGTAGTATCGACACAGCTGCTGGGACAATGAACTGTCAAACAAATTTTGGAATTGAAAAATTTCAATGAATAATTATTGAAATTTGTAAAATCTTTTGAAAAATACATATCGTAATAACCTCTGATTGGATATATAAAAATTTACTTATTGCTGATGTCAATGTCTCCAAGCGTTGATGAATCTACCTGTATTCTTCTACCATGGATACATCTTTTGTAGCATGGAAAAACAATAGAGGTAGACTCATTTGCTAAATCGAATAGGGTAACTCTTTATAATTTTTCAAATAAAATTTATTTTTATGACTGTAGTACTAACGTTTGACCAGTGGCAAATTTTACAAAAGTAATAAATAATAGCTTACCGAATTCATTTATCTGGTTTTATATTTAAAATTATAAAAATAGAGATTTTAAACCCTTCATCTTAAAAAACCCTCAGAATTTATGTCTCGTAGGGTGTATCTAAATACACAAGATTAATCTTCTACAGTATAGATGCGCTTTTAAGCAATAAATCCTGATAATGTGGGTTAACCCGGATAAAATGTTGCATCTAAACGCTCTATTACGATCGTTCAATAACAAAAGCTCTGTTCGTTCAGTAACATAAACTCAGTAACTTGGTTATTTCTTAAATATATTTTTATGGTTAGCTAGCAAGTTAAAAATAATTGATAGAATCATGACACAATCATTATAATTCACTTTGAAAAAACACAACTCCGAAACTAGTGCAACAATTTTTTTTATTAAATTTCGTAAGGCAAATAGCAGAAATTGTTTTTGCACCGATTCTATTTTATCCGAGTATATTGCATATTGAGGATCCCATACAACAGAACCATATTCTATTATAGGTCTAACAAGAGACGTAAATAACTGTTTTGTTATATATGGATCAGAAAATTCTTTTGCCCACCGTTTAATTTAATTTTGGATCCATCAAGAGGCCAAGATCGACAAATGAATCTACAGTTGATAATACGCACAATACGCTACACCTCTTTAATTGCACAGCCAAACCTACTCAACTCACTCCAGAAGATCTCTGGCTACAGCCCGTTAAAGTAGCCGAATTTCTAAACCTGGAACTGAAGCCATATTAGCAGAACGCAAACACATGCATGTACTACTGCTACAAAAATAACAACAGTTGATAATGAATGACCGTCAATATTATATTGCAATATCAGAGAAGAAGATCTGGAGAAGCACATATGCTTACATTTGCTTAAATTTAACTCCATACAATTAAAAACAAGTAAAAAAGCAGTAAGTTCGGCCGGGTCGAACTTTGAATACCTTCCACCATTTGGAACGAATTAGAAAATTTTCAAAAAAATAAAATCCATTAAAATTTCTTTTAAAATCTTTAAAATATCTAATATAGGAAGGCGCCGATATATGGGGGAATATACGATATTGTGGACCTATAAAGACAAATCTATGTCTAGGTATAAAGTACTAACAAGGAACTCCTTTTGTGGATTTTCAGATAATTCCATTGGAAAAAGTGGCTAAAATCATCAAAATACCGAATATAGGGGAGTACCGTTATATGCGGATATACGATATTGTGGACCTATATAGACAATTCCGTTTCAGGGGGTAAAGTGCTCACAAAGAACTCCGTGTGTGGATTTTAAGACAACACGATTGGAAAATGTGGCTAAAATCATCAAAATACCAAAATATGGGAGCTATACGTTATCGTTAACCTATATAGAGAATTCTCTGTCGGGGGGTAAATTGCTCACAAAGAACGCCTTGTGTACAAAGAACCCCTTGTGATCATTCCGTTGTAAAATGTGGCTAAAAACATCAAGATACCGAATATCGGGGGCACCGTTATATGGCGGCTATACGATATCGTGGATCTATATAGATAATTCTCTGCCGAGGTATAAAGTACCCACAAGGAACTACTTGTGTGGATTTTAAGAAAATTCCATTGAAAAGTGTGGCTAACATAATCAAAACACCGAATATCGGGGGTACAGTTATATAAGGGCTATACGATATCGTGAATCTATATAGACAATTCTCTTTGAGGGGGTAAAATACCCACAAGGGACTCCTTTTGTGGAATTTCAGACGATTCCATTGAAAAATGTGGCTAAAATCATAAAAATGCCGAATACCGGGGGGTACCGTTATATGGGGGATGTACGATATCGTGGACCTTTATAGACAATTCTCTTTCAGGGGACAAAGTACTCGCAAGGAACTACTTGTGTGGATTTTAAGACAATTCCATTGAAAAATGTGGCTAAAATCATCAAAATGCCGAATACCGGGGGGTACCGTTATATGGGGGCTATACGATATTGCGGACCTATATAGATAATTCTCTGTCGAGGTATAAAGTACCCACAAGGAACTCCATGTGTGGATTTTCAGACAATTCCGTTGAAAAATGTGGGTAAAATCATCAAAATACCGAATATCGGGGGTACCGTTATATAGTGGCTATACGATATCGTGGACCGATATAGCCTATCTTCGAACTTGACCTGCCTGCAGACAAAAGAGAGATCTGTGCAAAATTTTAGCTTCCTATCTTAATTCGTTTAGACTGTAGCGTGATTACAACAGACGGACAGACGGACGGACAGGGCTAAATCGTCTTAGTTTACGCTGATCAAGAATATATATACTTTGTTGGGTCTAAAATGATTATTTCGATGAGTTACAAACGGAATGATGAACTCAATATACCCTCCATACTATGTATGGTGGAGGGTATAAAAAAACATCTTATTGTCAAAATGTTCATATTGTATACACACAGCCAACTGAATACAAATTTAATGTTAAAATGCATTATTGTCATTCAAATTACAGAACAAAACATAAACAATAGCTAGAAAGTGTGAACAAATTTTGACATTTAATCTGATGTTAATAATTTGCAGGAACACCTTGTTATTGCGCCATGGCATCATTCTACCAACTGTGGCAACCTTGCGCAAAAGTTAGACCATGGTCTTCTACCATGATTTAGACTGATGTCGTCTACTTGAACAGATTTTTTTTTTTAATTTAGAAAAAATAACCAAGGGAGAAGTTGGAAAGTTTATTAGAAAAGTTGAAGTCTTTTTTTATTTTAAAATAGTTATGTTTGTGTCTTCGAAATTGCTATTGCCAACACCATAGCAAAAAAACTTTTGCGGATTTGCCATGAAAGCTGTGCGAAAAACGGTTTCTTTGTGTTCAGCCCGTGTCTATTGTGGCAACTCCATGACAGATGAATTCAGGTAGATGCTTTTGCACTTCTGAACACTGATTTGTCAAAAAATTTTGTTTGTGTTTGTGCAGAAATAAGTTTACTTTTATATGTTTTCTTACAAAACGCGCTTTGGAGATTGTTATTATATATATTTTTCAACAATTTTAGCAAATTTAATTAGTCTTTTATTCAAAATTTGGACATCTCAAAACGGTTTGGCATTTCAATGCACTAGCAGCTGTGCCGATGCGCATACCTGTATTATTTTATTATGGTTGCCTCATGTAAAAGAATTTTCCGGGAGTGAGCAGAGCAAAATTACACGTAAAAACATTTAGAAGGGGATACAATTATAAACACAACATCCGAAAAAGAAAAAATATCTATCTGTGATTTGAAATTAAAAGAAAATGAGTAAAAATATTTAAGAAAATAATTGTGTGTGTATGTAATTAGAATAAATGGCAACTAGAATATAATAAAATCAATAATCCCTTTGGTGTTTCATACATACGCATATAAATAGTGAAATAGTGTCTCTGCAATTGATCGCATAATTTTGTAGTCAACTTGAAAGCCAAGCAAGCCAATGTTTTCAACATTCTTCGGAATTCTGTAATCAAAATCAACCATAGTGGTCGTTTTCGGTTTGAGCAACGTGCGTGAGTGTTTACAATATATTATCTGTGGAAAATAGAAAATTTAGCAACAACAACAAATCACCTGCCATTTTGCCAGCCGCCTCCTGCCAGTCAGTCTGTCTGGATTTCTTTTTTGAAAATTCACGCACAAGAATCAAGAATGGTAAGCGAAAAATATGTGTGTGTATGTGTGTTTGTAAAATAAGAGTATGTAAATATTCATCATTTGTCCTATTTCTTGTCGTTTTGATTGTCGCCAGAAAATTGTTCTTGTAGTTTATTATTGCAATGTGAGAGTGTTGGCAAACGTCAAAAAGAAAAAAAACCCATTACTACAGCGAACGTCAAAAGAAGTTTCGAACAATCCCCGACCCGGACCGAAGTATATGTTTATATTATATTTTTGGCATTTGAAAACATTGAATACCGGGACGGCTTATGGGATAGTCAGAATGTACAGCAGTTTATTGGTTTATTCTTTTGAATGATGAAGAAATGTTGGCTCAAGTCATCGGTTTTTGTGAAGTAAGAAGAGGCGATGTTTGTTGCTATTGATTTAGTATTGGACAGTGGAATACCCGACAATTTCTGAGAACAACTCTAGTTTAGTAAAAACTCTTCGATATTTTTCCAGAGGTAGGTATTTTTACCCTGATTCCGAGAAACAATTTTTTCTTGGGGACGGACCCTTGACTCCAAGGGTGATAACAAATCAGACAAACGAATGGCAGTACTTGAGTGAGATACTCAACTTCCGGTGCATCCAACTGTTTCAACATTACAATTGATATTGCGTCTGGGCCAAACGCTTTGGATGACTTAGCGTTTTGGAAGAGATCCTATGCGTCGTAAGACTCTTCGCTTCGCCCTATCACTCTCGGGATGCTCGACAAATTGGCGATTAAAACGCCTTGGGCACCTCTTCAGATCAGTCACGTTACGTCGTTCCAATGTTGCAACACCTCTGAGGGTCTATCCACTTTTTCCGCTTGTGCTCCTTTACCAACCTGTTGACTTACACTGTCAGTTCACTGATTCTGGGATCATCACGCTTATTCGCAGCGGGACTGCCTCTGCTGGGAAATTTGGTCTTATTTCGGGTGTTCGACCAGCAGATATACTGGGTGAGATAAAAAACTGCAACAAAGGCAAACGCCATAATTTTCACATTTCTTTTAAATTTTATTCAATGAAAGCAAAAAATGTCGGAAATAGCACCAAATTTTAGAATAAGTTTAAATTTGTTCGAATTTGTAACCTTTGGCACGAATTATGGCCTTCAAACGGCCAATAAAACCGTCACACGCTGCCCGCTGAGTCCTGTTGGAATGTCCAAGGTCTGCGGCAAAAATGTTTGCGTGCCCAAGGCTTAAATACCCCCATCCAGAATATTATCCAAATCAGTGGTCTAGGAGCATTTTCGATGCTCTTCCAAAATTGGACACCACAAAGGTGCATCTTTGACCATTTTCCCACAGTGGGCCCAAACCATTTTCTCTTAATAGTGACCATATGAAATATAAGCCGGGCCGAACCGAATACGGGTGGAATGCAATGGAAAAGTATTCAGACCTGCCAAAAGTATTCTGTGGACCATTTGCATGAAGAATAGCATTCATCCAAATGCAGTCGCTGATGTAGTTAAATATTACAGTATAAATGTCATCCTTATAGTACATCCCATCCGTCTGCCATGGCAAATCAGGGTAGATTTGGCTCAAATACGTTCAGGACGGTTCGTCGTTATTACTTATTTTTCATTCTCTGGTATTTTCTTTATACTACTGGAACAAAACCCTCCTTTGGATTGTAGGTAATGCATGGTAGCTCGGGAAGCACGCTCCCCAGTAAAGCTAATACATTCAAACCAAGTCGTGATTTATTTCTTTTCAAGGTTTTTTATGGGCTCACATTCACTCCATTCCTCAAAGAAAAATTACTAATAATTAATTAAGTGAACTTGCCTATGTTCATATGTATTTGTGTATGAAAATTGTCATCATTTTAATTCGTCCGAAAACGTAGCAAAATAATGACGTCAAGACAAATACCATTTCTAGATGTGGCAAAATAATTCATATCTTTATAAATCATAAAGCGCGAAAACTCACCGCTGAGTGACGGCTAAAACTAATATATACCATATTTATGTACACATGTACATACATACTCCTCTATAAAAGTAAAATTCAAAACTAAGAACGCCATAACACCCAAACAAAAGCTTGTCTTGTTGTTGTGCATATTTTACGGCAAAACAAAAGATACCACCGGCGGTTGAGCTGTTCATTCACGTTTATGTGGGAGCATGAGAAGTACAAGGTAAACTGAACTGGATTCGAGCATTTTGTTGTTGAATGAATCAGTTTATTTGCGGCTTTTAATCATAGCTGTTGGCTTCTGGCAGTCGGCTGAAGAACTAAAACACAGCAAAGTATAAACAATTTTCCAAGAGGAATCTTTTATGTTTTTATTTTTGCAAATTTTGATAACCCAATAAAATATAGGAATAATCTTATCTATCGTCAACAAGTGTATTGTTTTTGATGAGAAACTGCTGTGACATATAAAAGTAAATTATTTTAATTCTTATCAGAGTTCGCCAATTGTGACAAGGCGGGGAGCACAAAAAGCTAAAATACAAACGCGAGCCATGGTCAAATCATCAGTTGAGAATCGCAAGCCGAATGCAGCATTGATGGAGGCGAAACGGAAAGCTAAGCTATTGAAAATGCAACAACCCACACAATTGGATGGAACAGTTAAGGATATATTTCAAAATGTAAATATGAATAAATGCCGCAGTGACGCTTTCTACATTCAATTAACGATGTTATTCTTGTTTTTTTTCCATTGCAGGCTGTTAACGCAAAATATATGAAACAACGTCCCACGGGTTTGGTGTATGACGAATCAATGTCCCAACACCGTTGCCTATGGGACGACAAACATCCAGAATGTCCCGAGCGTTTTATAAGGGTACTGGATCGGTATGTAATTCCTCATATATTTTAAACAATTACCAAAAAAATGTATATCATACACATTGAAGTCTATTACTTTAGATGAGTTGTTTAAACTGATGTAGACATCACTTTGCTTGTATTTGAATTTGCTAAAGTATTATGTGATTACCAAAACAAAAATGTTAGAATTCTGTAGCCGGAACAAAGCAGAAAAATTGTAAATCTATGTTATTGTCATTCACTGAAATTGGCATGAAGATAACGACCAAAATAATGTTTGGACGAGTAGTCAAAGGCAATACTTAGTTATATTGTGACTTTTACGGTAACTAGGAAATATATATACAGAGTCCAATAATATAGCTCAAAACAGATCTAGTAAAAAATCTTGGTCACTTTTACAAAGGGAATTAACTACTAACCACAGGATAGAATTTGAATTTTTTCTCACCCATGATTCTCTGTCTTTTGCCTTTAAGCTAAGTACAACGCAGGTGTCTTTGACTCCCCTCGTCCTCAAATAGCATGCAAAACGTATATCCATTCCGTCCCACTTCAAAGTTCAACATTCAACCATGATTTGATCTGGAACTAGCTAAGAGAAAACATGGATCAAGTTCTACCACCTCTAGTGTATTCGGCCAGATCCGAAGCGATTCATTGTCCGATAAGAGCTTGACGAGTTCCTCAATGAAATGATACAACTGCATCAGACTAGGGTCCTTAGTATAGCAAAGATATACACCTGGAATATACTGCAGTTCTTACTTATCGTTTACCAAGCCAATTGCAAAATAGGTCCCACTCTGAAGTACACTTTGATATAGTAGCACGTTTTTATGTCCATTTAGACAACGTTTGAGGATCATATCGTAGCTCTGAACTAACATGAGAAGGGCCCGGAAAGAGGTAACGCCAAAAACCAAAGTACCTTGAATTTAAACTTTAAGAACAGTGAAATGACACAACTGCTTCAGACTTATCGTTTATCAAGCCAATTACCAAACAAGTTCCCACTCTGATGTACAGGGTGAAATAAAAAGACTGCAACTAACTTCAGACTGCTGTCATTTCTAAGCCACTCGTCCGACAGCTGTTAATATTATTCCAGTGACAGCTCATTATATGGTTGACAAGCGTACAAAAGTATTTTGGTGAGAATTTTCCAGAAAAAATGTTATTCGTGATGGAATTCAAGCGTGATATTGTGATTTCTTTATATTTGGCTGGAAAACCACAAGTTAGAGCACTCCAGCATTTAAATGTGAATAAATCTTTTGTGTCTCGTACTATCGCTCGTTACCGTGATACTGGAAGAAAACAGCAACATCAGCAGAATTGTTTCGAAAAGTAAAGAAGAGACTTGATCGAAAACCGCGTCACAGTGACCGAAAAATGGCTCATGAGCTGAACATATCGCAATATTCCATTCGGCAAACATTAAAAAATAAGTTCGGGGTAAAGCTATTGAAATTCCAAAAAGTGCAAGAAGTGGTGTAACAGAAAGAAAATAGACTGAAAAGAGCTAAAGAGTTGCTTCGCCTGGCCGAAAGTGATGAACTGTCGAATTTGGTTTTCTCCGATAAGAAAGCATTCGTTGTACAACAGTTTGTAAACAAACAAAATGATCGTGTTTACTTGCCAAAGAGGTCAGCTGAAAATGTGGACCTTCGATTGGCAACCAGGTGTGTGTGGGCCGCCATAACAGCCGATGGTCGCTCTCGCGAAAATATTCTGGAGGGTGTATTAAAGCCTTGGGCATTCAAACATTTTGACCGCAGACCTTGGACATTCCAACAGGATTTAGCACCATCACACTCAGTACGCGCCACCCAAGAATGATTACAAACTGAGGTTCCTCTATTCATTTTCAGTGCACAATGGCCACCAAAAACTCCGGATACCAATCTGTTGGACTATTGTGTCTGGAGTATTTTGGAAAGCAAGGCTGGCACTAAAAAATACCAAAGTGTTGATCACCTCAAGCAAGCGCTTCGCCGGGAACGGGCCAAAATACCGCAGAGCAACATTCGGGCAGCGTGCGACTGTTTCATTGGCGGTTTGAAGGCCATAATTCGTGTCAAAGGTCTCCAATTCGAACAAATCTAAACTTATTCTAAAATTTGATGCTATTTGCGACATTTTTGCTTTCATTCACTGAAATTAAAAAAAAATGTAAAAATTATGGCGTTTGACTTTGTTGCAGTTTTTGTATCTCACCTTGTACTGCCTTTCGTATATTAGCACGATCTCCCCCCATGTCTGTTTACAATTTATCCAGTCGGTTTGGTAGAATGTCTGTTTTAACAGCATTTGAGGTCCATAGCGTAGCTCTGGGTAATTTCGAAGCAAGTACCATAACAAGGAAAGTCGAAATTTCGTCGATGCTTTGTGTCTTTAAGAAAATTCGCATGCTAAACCAAATGTTTGATGAAGATTTTTAATATCCCAACGACAAGAATGGAGTTTATATTCTACCATCCGCCATTATTTAACGTTCGGTGGCATATCCCTTACCCTATTACACTTTCCTCTAACACCAGATTTATTTTTTTTGAACGATACAAAATTACATGCATTTTTAGGTACATTGATTTTGTCATAGCTCTTTTTTAGAATTTGACTTGAAATGGTGTAATTGTATTTTCTCTCCACATTCAAACTCATCCAACAGACATGACTCGTTTTTTTCGTTCTAATTAATTTATATTTTTTCATTCGTTTTATAACTTTTTCCTAGTATGTTCGCTATAGTTCTTGCGGTGGGTATTCATTTACATTTGTATGAATGTGTATGTACTTGTAGTTCATTAGCATTTATAATGAACTTAAAAAAATGTCCATACTTGGTTTTAATACCTCACATTATTACTTGTTCTAAATGAATTTTAGTTAACTTGTGTTTTTATCGTATGGAGACAAGAAACTTTTAGTTAGGCCTTTTTTTGTTGTTTTACATTGTATGGTCTGATTATCCTTCTTGATTTATTATAATATATACATATGTATGTACAACATTTAAAATAATTTTACTTCTCAATTTTTAGTTGCCGAGAATTGAATTTGGTAGAACGATGTCAGCTCATATCATCGAGACGAGCAACAAAAGATGAAATCATGCTTTTGCACAGTGAGGAACATTACAAACTTTTGGAAAAGACATCAGGGGTACATGACGATGAGAAAATGGAAGATTTTAGTTCACATTATGACTCAGTTTATATACATCCAGTAAGTTTCTGCAATACACATTTAAAATGCAAAGCATGTATGGTTTTAAATTGCTCTTTTTGCTTTTGCAGACCACATTTGATTTGTCACTACTGGCAGCTGGTTCAACCATAGATTTAGTAGAAAATGTTGTAAGCGGTACGATACAAAATGGCATGGCCATAATAAGGCCACCGGGACATCATGCCATGAAAGCCGAATTTAATGGGTAAGTCCCATGGTATAATAATTACAGGTAGCAGCAAGTCCCCGCTGATTTGACTCAATAGTAATACTAGTGTCAAACACGATATGACGTTTTGTGATATAATTTCATTTTTTTGATATACAATCGGTATACGTTTTTTGATATAAAATTTCACTGCAGGGAAATGTGAACATATTTCTTGCATAATAATAGAAAAAATTGCCGTTGTACTTAACAAAACGCTAATGGTGATCGTGCGAAAGCTTTTTTTCAAGGTTAAAAAGCAGCGACACCATATTAGATAATATAGTCGTATATTTCATGTTTCCTAAAATTTCAAAATGTAAAACACTTTATGTGTGTTTACAGTTTGGTTTCAATTTAAAAGGGGTGTTGCTTTTTTCCACGATTTTCAAGCGATAGCTTGAAGTGTTGAGAGATTAGGACCTACAGCTAACAACTATACATTCAGGGGAATGATGAAAGCATTCAAATTAAATAATTGATGAATAATTGATTGCATTTTAAATTAAATAATACAAAATTCCAAAAATGTATATTTTTGAAATCAAAATAATCTATTGAAAATTAGTTATTTTGTTTAGAACAGTGTGGCTTGTTTGTTCGGGATACCGTAGTATTTTGTTGTTGCAAAATGGTCAGGCTTATCCCTTTATTGTTGTCTTCTGGGGAGAATATCCCAGACAAAAACAAGGGAACTGATGAGGATTGGTGGCTCTTTCCGAAACCTAGGTATTCCCTGCCTTACCCCCTGGTAAACATTACCATCGTTCTCCACTAATAAACAAAGGTTATTTTGTTTACATTTTTGGACATATAACTCTGACACTTGTATTACGTACAAAAACAAATTTGTATGTGGTTGTTGTTACGATTGTTGTACAACAACACTTGCTGTTACCTGTATTATTCTACCATGGGTAAGTTCGAAGAAAATGCAAAATAAAAAAGGATCTACACTTAATCACGTTTCGTCTTGTCTTTAAAGATATTGCTTTTTCAATAATGTGGCCATTGCTACACAATATGCCTTGGATATACTTAAAGTAAATAAGATTTTGATTATTGATTGGGACGTGCACCACGGCCAGGGAACACAGCGTTTTTTCTATCACGATCCACGGTAAGTCTCACGAAATCAAATTAAATCTAAATAAAAAATTAAAAAATTGTATTTGTAACTGCAGAGTCTTATATTTTTCGATTCATCGATTTGAACACGGCACCTTTTGGCCGAATCTCAAGGAGTCCGATTTCGATGCCATCGGTTATGGTCCTGGTTTAGGTTATAATTTCAATCTACCACTGAATAAAACCGGCATGACAAACGGCGATTACCTAGCCATATTTCAACAGATTTTAATACCTGTGGCCTGTGAATTTCAACCGGAATTAATAATCGTTTCTGCCGGCTATGATGCAGCCCTGGGTTGCCCCGAGGGCGAAATGGAAGTTACACCTGCCTTTTACAGTCATCTAATAAATCCTCTTTTAAAGTTGGCTAATTCCCGCCTGGCCGTAGTTTTAGAGGGAGGTTACTGTTTGGAATCTTTAGCCGAAGGTGCTGCCTTAACACTGAGAGCTCTTTTGGGGGAACCTTGTCCGGCCTTGGTAGAGAAACTGGAGCCACCGTGTCCCTCCATACAAGAGTCCATTTTTAATTGCATTTATGCCCATCGATCGTACTGGAAGTGCTTGCAAGCACAAGGTACCTATACCATGGAAGACATCAACAATGTTAATCCACAAAATAATTTACACAAAGTAAGCCGGTTGTTTGTCGGAGGTCCGCCTCTGCCAGAACGTTTTCCGACAAGAGATACGGCTCCCAAAATTCCACTGGATGTGATTGAGCGCAATGCACAACGTTTAAAAAGACTTAAAGCAGGTATGATGTGAATTTAGATAATAAAAACGTATTTATATTGAATTCTCGCTTTCTCCTCTCCCCAACTCTATTAGAAACCAAATTGTTTTCGCCTAAGGTTCGGGTCTGCTATGTCTATGATGAACTTATGTTACAACATGCCAACACTTACGAAGAGGGACATCCCGAGCAACCTGCACGCATACAAAGAATCTACGAAATGCATCAAGATTACAAATTATTAGAACGCATGCAGAAGCTGCCATCTCGCTCAGCAACAACAGATGAAGTTTGTTTGGCCCATACGAGGTCGCATTTGAACTCGATTCGACGTATTGGGGAAAAGGATGAGCTCCAGAATATGGGTGCCAAGTTTAATTCAGTTTACTTCCATCCTAAAACATTCGAGTGCGCCACACTGGCAGCGGGCTCAGTATTGCAAGTTGTGGACAAGGTGGTCAAGGGAGAGGCACGTAGTGGTGTTTGCATTGTAAGACCCCCGGGCCATCATGCCGAATCTGATGTACCACATGGTTTTTGTATTTTCAATAACGTGGCTATTGCTGCCCAATACGCAATTCGTGATCATGGCCTGAAAAGAGTTCTTATTGTTGACTGGGATGTTCATCATGGCAATGGTACACAGCATATATTCGAGTCGAATCCGAATGTTTTATACATAAGTATACATCGTTACGACAATGCCTCCTTCTTCCCCAAGAGTAAAGATGGCAACTTTGATTGTGTTGGCAAGGGCGCTGGCATTGGATTCAATGTAAACATTCCATGGAATAAGGTTAGCTTTGTAGGCAATGTCATTGCAATTATAATAAATCATTCTTTGTTTGCTTCTAACAGAAAGGCATGGGCGATTTGGAATACATAATGGCCTTCCAGCACATAATCATGCCAATTGCATATGAATTTGATCCGCAATTAGTTTTGGTGTCGGCCGGTTTCGATGCTGCCATTGGAGATCCTCTTGGCGGTTGCAAGGTAACGCCGGAAGCTTATGGGCTTTTTACACACTGGTTATCGGCACTGGCTAATGGCCGGATAATAGTCTGCCTGGAAGGCGGTTATAATGTCAATTCAATATCATATGCCATGACTATGTGCACAAAGTCATTGTTGGGAGATCCTATACCTCCGGTGCAGTTAAATGGCAGTTATATACGTCCACCTACGGCGGCCTATTTAAGTTGCATCGAAACGTTACAGAACTGCATAAGTGTTCAGGAGCGCTATTGGAAAAGTCTAGCCTTTGGAAAACGGCTACCCCAGGTGTCGGGCGAAAACAACAACGAGGATTTTCTTTCTGCTACTTTACAAAATTTAGATATTACAAGGGATGATGTTCAGGGTGCTGCTGGTGGTTCTGGCGACGCCCAACAGGATATATCTTTAGAGGCAAGTGGCAGTAAACCGAAGGTAAAAGTTAAAACCCTAACAGAATTTCTCACAGAGCACATGCAGGTAATTTACTTCTAACGTCTATGTCAGACTCAAACTTGATTGTCTAATCCCAAATATAACATTTGTCTGTTTCATTTCTTGCAATGCATCGCCTCCAATTACTTACTTGGCAATTTAATCCAACACAACGTCATTCCAATAGGCATTTGAAAATAATGAAATGTTTGCTGTTGTGCCCTTAAAGCATTGTCCTCATTTGTCACAGCTGCATCCTGAGGATGCGCCAAAATGTAAGCAAGATATATCGACATGATAAACGTTAATGTGTTCTTTTTTAATTTGGTTCTGTGTTTATCGGATTATTGTAATTATAATTTCATTCATTACGCATTCATAGTTCCTATATATGTATTATGCTTCTAACTTTCATATTTTTCATAAGGTAGAGCTTCAAAATTTGTGTTTTGGTGGACTCATACTAATTTTAATACATTTTCTTTGCTTACATTGAAGTTTTTTTATTCTCTTGCAGAATTGGAACCTTTTGTTTTGTTAATTTTTCAATCATTTGTCTTCTATTTCTTTCGATTTTATACCCTCCATCTTGAAAAGGATGCTATATTAACTTTGTCATTCCGTTTGTAACACCCCTAAACATTCGTCGTAGACCCCATAAATCAGCATAAAATTCTAAGTCGATTTAACGATGTCCGTCTGTCTGTCTGTTGAAATCACGATACAGCCCACATTATTTGACGTAGAGCGTCAAAACTTACCAGAACAATTTGTATTGTGTCTAGGATGGTTGGTTTTGAAAACCCACGTTTTGGTATAACCCCATAAAACGGTACTTGTAGATATTCGATATTTTGATGATTATTGCCACATTTTTCCACGGATTTGTCTAAAAATTGGTATTAGTAGGTTATATTGGGTTCAAGATCGTATGTCGAAACTTTGTATGGTCCACGTTTTGTATAGTCCCATATAACGATATTCGATGTTTTGATGATTTTTGCCACATTTTTTGCGGTCATAATGGGTTCTATATCGCGTGGCGAAACATTGTATGTATAGGTCCACGTCCCATAAAATGGTACCTGCCGATATTCGATATTTTGATAAAAATCGGTATTTGTAGTTCACAATGGGTTCTAGCCCGGTGACAGAACATTGAATATTTAGTCCCACGTTTTCCTATAGCGCACATATAACGATACCCGCCGTATTTTGGTATCCTAGTCACATTTACCCACAAAATTATTTCATATTTGGTATTTTAGACAATTTGATAGATGACAATCCTTCAAGTATATATATAATTTTCCATAGAGGTTCCCGTTTTGGAATTTCCCCATATAACGGCCCACTCACTTTATGGTTTTTATTTTTATATAAAAATGTTTCCTATACCCTCAGGTGGAGGGTATTAAAATTATTGTTTATCGATCAATTATACTGTTTCAATTATGCTGCAATTATACTGTAGGAAAACAAGATTGTTGGTAGTCATCTAGAAAATATATATATAAGGTTGGAAGGTAGGTTTAATTTGTAACTACAACGGCTTATATATATATACTCCTTTACAAAATTGGAACACATCCGAGCATGACAAAAATACTACATTAAGAAGTTAATAAAAGTAAAATAATTTTTGGTAAGTTACAGATAAGGAAGGACAATAGGATCCGCATCATTTGAATAGGTTCCGTATCATTTGAATCCTTGGAAAGAGCAAGTAAAGAAAAAATCGCACTAGAGTCCATAGAGACATATTTTCTTTATTTTCCTTATTCAATTTTTTCATCGCTTCATATCAGGATTTCATTGCTGCAATTCGCACTTATCTACTTTATTTTAATATTATTAATTATTATTTTTGTGCTCTGTAAATTTGCCCAAATATTCTTTCTATGTGTTTATTATTTTGGATTTTTTTAAATAATATTTTTCAATAATACATTTAAATTCTCTCCTTTTTCTCTTTAACCACAGCAATAAATACAAACCAACCATGTAATGAATGTTCCTCGGTGGCAGAAAACTGGATGTGTCTCAGTTGCCACGAAGTGTTGTGCGGTCGTTATGTAATGGAACATATGATGTTCCACAATATAGAAACATCCCATCCGATGGCTTTGAGCTTTAGTGATTTATCCGTGTGGTGTTATCCTTGTGAATCGTACATTGACAATAGACAACTACATGTATACAAAAATCTAGCACATTTAAATAAATTTGGCGAGGAAATGCAATGGGCGTATGAGGAAGATGAACAACCGGACAAGAGCAAACGCAAAGATGACGACAGTGATGATGATGATGACGACGACGACAGCAGCAGTTGCAGTCGACCATTTGGCTCTCAGCAAAACTATTACATACAACTGAATGTAGATTCGAATAACTGACATTTACTCACTGCACTGGTGGAGACAGTGCAGCATCATTTGTGTTCGCTGTTTCCTTCGTTGCGTCCAGTCTTTCAATTTCTTTTGCACTACATTTGCCCCTTGGTACAACGTCTGTGTACACATATTTTGCATTATTTTATGGCGAATTGATTAGTTGTAGCTTTGATTAAATTGCTGACCATGCCAATACTTTTTTATGCATGTCCTTGTTAAGAAAACTAATTGTGTCTTCAACAATGAAGGCCCCTTTCACCTCCACACTGAAACTCGAAGAATTGTTACATTCTTTACAATTTTACAAATTCTGTTTCTGTTATACTTAATATTTGCTATCCTAAAACTCTATATACAAATGTTTTTATTGCAAACTTTACCCAATTTTATTAGTATTATTGGATTTATGTTGATTTAAATTTTCATTATACGACCAATTATTTGTTATTAAAACAAAACCACAAAATAATGTTGACTTTTTATCTCTAACGTTTACAAGTACGAAGAAAATTAAACTAGACATAGATATACACTAACTAATTTAATACAACAAATATCATAAATGTAGTTTAGATCGATTGTAAAATAATTACAAATTAGCCCTAACAAATACATATTCAATTGCATCCACATCAATATGACCATTATAATCATACTTGACTATAATCATTGTAACAAATTAGGAATGATGTTGTACATTTTAAGTTTCATTACAAAAAGAAAGAAAAACACAAAACACATTAATAGTTTTAGTTTTGTTATAGAAAAACAACAAAAATAAACAAATCGGAAGTAACATTTAACGGACAAATTAAATTAATTATTGTGTACTCTAAAATAATCAGCTGTTTTATTTGTGGGAGTTTCTAATTTATGGAAATAATTGGTAAAAATCCCATGATGACAGATAAAACTATTTAAAATTGTGACCCTTTGTGGGTGAGGTACCAGACATATATTCATCTTCACAACAGATCTTGTATTAGCAAAAATGTTTGTATGTGCGAAATTTGAGGAGAGTTGGATGCCTAATTCGCTTTTTTGCGCGTTTTGTTTTTCAAAATCTAGAACCCTATGTGGGACAGGTAGTAAAAAAAATGGTCCGGCCTCTGCCATTTTTTTAACAGATCTTGTGTTGATGGAAATATAGAGATGTACCAAGTTTGGAATGGATTCGGATATTATTATATTATTCAAAACTTTGAACCTTAGTGGGGGAGGTACCATTGTACCATGGGTATTCATTTCAAATTTCAAATACCAAATTTGAAAGAATTCCGATGAATATTGTCGCAAAAATCATCAAAATACCGAATATCGGAAGGTGCCGTCATATGGTCCAAAACGTGGACCTACATGGCCCATTTTCAATACCAAATTTACTTCAATTCGTTCGGAAGCTAGAGTGATTTCCACAGACGGACGGACATCGCTAAATCGACATAGAATTTTATACTGATCAAGGATATATACATGGTACAATGAAGAGAAGGTAGGTCAACTTTGAAAAAATTGCAGGTGTAGAGATCTACCTGTTTGGCTTGTAATGTCAGAATTAGTTTCAAAACAATAAAAAATCAAACAACTTGTTGCATTTATTTTGAATAAATAATTGAAAAACGCGATAACTGAATGAAAGGTCAACACTTCTTTTCAAAATCATGTACTATATAAAGGATTATTTCGCTACAAAAACTCTAGATTTTGTCGATGCATACGTTGAAATAAACATTTTGAAAACACCCGAATTTGAATATTTTCTGAACATTTTTTTTTTGTTATTGAAAAGAAAACACATACATAAACAAATAAAGATGACATATTAAGCCAAGAAAATAAAAAAAATTAAAATCATATGGTATCATAGCCCTACCTTGATATCATTGTAACATGCTACAGCCTATAACAGAAAGTTGTCTATGTGGATCCAAGTCTTCGTATAGGCCCCATGTATCAGTACCTCCTTATATTCGGTAATTTAACGATTTTAGGTACAATATTCACTGAAATTGTTGGAGATGTCGTTTTTGAAGTTCGTATTGGATGCTACAGGATGTAAGAGAAAATTGTCTATGCACGTCCAGGTCTTCGTATAGCTCCGATGTAACGGTACCTCCCTATATATTGGTATTGAAAATGGGTCATGTAGGTCTACGTTTTGGTATAGCCCGCATATAACGGTACTACCATGGTACAATGAATTCAAGGTAGGGCAGAACTACCATATGATTTCAATTTTTTTATTTTCTTGGCTTAATATGTCAACTTCATTTGCTTATGTGTGTGTCTTTTTTTCAATAATAAAAAAATTGTTCAGAAAATATTCAAATTCGGGTGTTTTCAAAATGCTTATTGCAACGTATGCATCGACAAAGTCTACAGTTTTTGTCGCGAAATAAACCATAAGAGATATATAGAACATGATTTTGAAAAGAAAAGTTGACCTTTTATTCAGTTTTCGCGGTTTTAAATTATTTATTCAAAATCAATGCAACAAGTTGTTTGATTTTTTATTGTTTTGATACTAATTCTGACATTACAAGCCAAACAGGTAGACCTCTATACTCGCAATTTTTTCAAAGTTGACCTACCTTCTCTTCATTGTACCATGGGTACTACCTGATATTCGGTATTTTGATGATTTTAGCGACATTATTTACCGGAATTGTTTCAAATTTGTTATTTGAAGTTCGGAAGACAGAAAATTATCTGTGCAGGTCCACATCTTCGTATAGTCCCCATATAACGGTACCTACCGATATTCGGTATTTTGATTATTTTAGCTACACTATTCACCAATTTTTTTTTAAGTTTCGCATTTGAATATTGTGATGGCTTTTGACAAAAGTTACCTATGCAGGTCCATGTCGTCGTATAGACCCTAAAATAACAGCTACATTCGGTATTTTTACGAGTTTAACACAATTTTCAACGGATTTTTTTGTTTTTGAGAATTGCCAAATTCGTTCCAAATGGTAGAGGGTATTCAAGGTTCGGCCTGGTCGAACGTACAGCTTTTTACTTGTTTTTAAGTAAATATGTTTTAAAATTTCTTGCCAAAATATATATCGCCGAAAGCAGAAAAGGAAGAGTTGCAAGTGATTGCAAGAAGAAATTTGTCAACTGTCAAAATTGCTCTCTCAAATCGCTCTCTTTTGAAGATATTTTGTGTTAACAGACGACTTCCAGTAACAATTTGCAACAATTTTAGCGTAACTAGACACACCAATGGTAGAAAAATACAGGTAACAGCATGGTACAATGAAGAGAAGGTAGGTCAACTTTGAAAAAATCGCAAGTATAGAGGTCTACCTGTTTGGCTTGTAATGTCAAAATTAGTATCAAAACAATAAAAAATCAAACAACTTGTTGTATTTATTTTGAATAAATAATTGAAAACCGCGAAAACTGAATGAAAGGTCAACACTTCTTTTCAAAATCAGGTTCTATATATCTCTAAAGGATTATTTCGCTACAAAAACTCTAGATTTTGTCGATGCATATGATGAAATAAACATTTTGAAAACATCCGAATTTGAATGTTTTCTGAACAATTTTTTGTTATTGTAAAGAAAACACATACATAAACAAATAAAGATGACATATTAAGCCAAGAAAATAAAACAAGTAAAAAAACATTAAGTTCGGCCGGGCCAAACTTTTAATACCCTCCACCTTAGGGTAAAATAAACATTAGAAGAAATGTGGCAAAAACCATTAAAATGCCGATTATGGGGAGGTACCGTAATATGGGGGCTACACCAAAACGTGGACCTATAATTACAAAGTTTCGCCACACGAACTAGGACCCATTATGACCCACAAATACCAATTTTTAGGCAAATCAGTGAAAAAATGTGGCAAAAACCATCAAAATACCGAATATCGGGAGGTACCGTTATATGAGGGCTATACCAAATCATGGACCCATACATGCAATGTTTCGCCACCGGAGCTGTAACCCATTATGACCAACAAATACCGATTTTCAGACAAATCCGTGAAAAAATGTTGCAAAAATCATCAAATTACCGAATATCTGGAGGTACCGTTATATGGGGGCTATACCAAATTTTGGACCCATACATGCAATGTTTTGCCACACGCTCAGGGACCTGCTATGACCTACAAATACCAATTTTAAGACAAATCCGTGAAAAAACGTGGCATAAATCATCAAAATACCGAATATCGGGAGGTACCGTTATATGGGGACTTTACCAGAACGTGGACCGATATATCTCATTTTCAATACCAACCATCCTAGACACAATGCAAATAGCTCTGCTAAATTTTGGAGCTCTACGTCAAATAATGTGGGCTGTATCGTGATTTCAACAGACAGACAGACGGACAGACAGACAGACAGACAGACATACAGACGGACAGACAGACAGACGGACATCGTTAAATCGACTTAGAATTTTATGCTGATTATGAATATATATACTTTATGGGGTCTAAGACGAATATTTAAGGATGTTACAAACGGAATGACAAAGTTAATATACCCTCCTTTCCAAGGTGGAGGGTATAAAAATTGAAATCATATGGTATCATAGCCCTACCTTGATATCATTGTACCATAGGTAACAGCAAGTGTTGTTGTACAACAATCGTAACAACAACCACATACAAATTTGATTTTGTACGTAATACAAGTGCCATGTCCAAAATGTAAACAAAATAATTGATTTTCAATAAATTATTTTAAACACAAACATATACATTTTTGGAATTTGAATTATTAAATTAAAAATGCAAAATAATATTTCTTAAAATATTTTATTTTAATGCTTTCACGTCATTCCCCTGAATGTATAGTTCTTAGCTGTTGGTCCTAATCTCTCAACACTTCAAGCAATCGCTAGAAAATCGTGGAAAATTCAACATCCTTTTCAAGTTGAAACCAAACAGCATACATACATAAAGTATTCTACATTTTGCAATTTAGGGAGACATGAAATATACGAGTATATTATCGAATGTGGTGTCGCTGTTCCTTAACCGAAAAAAATCCGAACCATCGCTTTTGGCGTTTTGTTAAGTACAACGACAATTTTTTCTATTCTTAGGCAAAAACTATGTTGACGTTGCCCTGCAGTGAAAATTTATATCATGTGCCAAAATTCATGCCATTTGGGCTGATATTGGTCATTTGGTGCACAATTAACCCGACATCGGATGAAGATATAAACGGGAGGTATATCCAAATCTGCACAGATTTTAATAAAATTAAAATCAACTATTTATGGGCTTTATCTGATATCTGGTACCAAATATCATTCCTGTGGAGTGCATATTACGAATGTGAGGGACTAAAACACTTAATCGGATGAAACATATATATGGGAGCTATAGCAGTATCTGAACCGATCTTCTTCAAATTTGATGTGCTTGCTTCCAGACAGAATTTGGTCGGATGTACCAAAAATTCAGATCATTTGGGCTAATCAGTTGAATATATATATGCGAGCTATATCTAACTGAGATCCGGTTCTCACCAATTTCAATAGGGTTCGTCCTTGGGCCAGACAAATGTTGTTTGCAAAATTTCATCTCAGTCGGATAATAAATGCGACCTGCATTTTGTTCACAAGAATACATGGACAGACGGACTGACATGCATAAATCAACTCAGAAAGTGATTCTATGGAGATCCTCAAAAGTAACTATGGGTCTATCTCGCTTCTTTCTCCATGTTACAGACAAATGCACAAAGACATAATACCCTTACCACTATGTGATGTAGGGTATAAAAAGGGTATACCTATTGTATATCAATAAATGGAATTAAACGACGAAACGTCATATCGAATTTGACACTAGTATTACTATAGA